AAATCTTGTGTTATTAATATTATGGCACAAGTTGGTGGAGTTCGTGTATAAATAAGAATGGGGTAAAATACACTGTCGTATCCGGACTCTAGGGTGACATCTGGAGCAAAGGAGATGTTTGTGATCATCCAATAAACACTCTGCTTTATGTCGCTTTTATGTTAATATTGAAGTGTAAGGACCCCAAGGAAGAACAGTAGTGTCCTATAAACACTGCTGAATTGGGCTTTCCACCGATTTTTGTCTATGTACATGTATAAATACTGGACTGAAATCTCCAAGCACGATTGGAGTGTTTGAATACAGAGATGTATTACCAAGATCCGTTGATAGCCCTTCAAGGATGGTAATTAGAAAGGAAGGCTCAGAAGTCTCGAGTCCAACGGTACTTGCAGATTCTGAAAGATGATGAAGGGATAATCTTTTAGTTAAGAACGACAATAAAGCTCGTCAAGGATCAGTAGTCTAGAATTAAATAGTACTAGTGCAATTTGAAAGATAATTAAGATTGGAGAAGAAAAAAAATTAGTACAAAAACAATAACAACTCTCATCATTCTCCTTAGTGTCTCAAATATTAAAAAGTATTGAACCTTTAAATTGCATTAATGAAATTGCAAAGTCATTATAAGCAACAAATTTATCTATTCAGATGTCTTTAGGCTATTGTAGCTACAGTATGTCTTCGATCATTTAATAATTGATAGTTTTCTTTTCCTTTTTTTTTATTGGAGATATGAATACAAATCTTGTGTTATTAATATTATGGCACAAGTTGGTGGAGTTCGTGTATAAATAAGAATGGGGTAAAATACACTGTCGTATCCGGACTCTAGGGTGACATCTGGAGCAAAGGAGATGTTTGTGATCATCCAATAAACACTCTGCTTTATGTCGCTTTTATGTTAATATTGAAGTGTAAGGACCCCAAGGAAGAACAGTAGTGTCCTATAAACACTGCTGAATTGGGCTTTCCACCGATTTTTGTCTATGTACATGTATAAATACTGGACTGAAATCTCCAAGCACGATTGGAGTGTTTGAATACAGAGATGTATTACCAAGATCCGTTGATAGCCCTTCAAGGATGGTAATTAGAAAGGAAGGCTCAGAAGTCTCGAGTCCAACGGTACTTGTAGATTCTGAAAGATGATGAAGGGATAATCTTTTAGTTAAGAACGACAATAAAACTCGTCAAGGATCAGTAGTCTAGAATTAAATAGTACTAGTGCAATTTGAAAGATAATTAAGATTGGAGAAGAAAAAAAATTAGTACAAAAACAATAACAACTCTCATCATTCTCCTTAGTGTCTCAAATATTAAAAAGTATTGAACCTTTAAATTGCATTAATAAAATTGCAAAGTCATTATAAGCAACAAATTTATCTATTCAGATGTCTTTAGGCTATTGTCGCTACAGTATGTATTCGATCAGTTAATAATTGATAGTTTTCTTTTCCTTTTTTTTTATTGGAGATATGAATACAAATCTTGTGTTATTAATATTATGGCACAAGTTGGTGGAGTTCGTGTATAAATAAGAATGGGGTAAAATACACTGTCGTATCCGGACTTTAGGGTGACATCTGGAACAAAGGAGATGCTTGTGATCATCCAATAACACTCTGCTTTATGTCGCTTTTATGTTAATATTGTAGTGTAAGGACCCCAATAAACAAAATCACGTGAAAATCACGTCAATATCAAGGTATCGACTTGAGGAGAGTTACGTTCTTTAAACACCTGACATTTACGTAAATGTGTTAATACGTTTATTGCACTAGGTAACTTAAAACACACGTACACTAAATCACGCAATTGTCACTGCAATATCACCATTATAATAACGTGATTATCCCTACCTTGGAGACCATGGTTTGTAATAAAACCTAATACTCCCGTGTTTGTTTGGTTATGAAATTACATCTTCATAAACGAAATTATCGCGTCACAGAAACACGTGAAGCGTTAGTGATAGTTTTAGTCAAAATATCTGCGTGAAATTTACGTGAATATTACGAGGCTGACTTGAGATGAATCATGTTCTTCATTCACGTGAAATTTACGTCGAAGAAGAAGTATGTTACTGTAACCCGCGTTCAACCCAATAATTACGCAAATGTTACACAATAAATGAACCAAAATGATAATAATCATCCCGTTTCTGAACATCGTGTCTTGGATATTCCATAATTAAGTCCAGGCGCGCTGGTAGCAGTTTGGGGTGAGAGGGGGTTGGGGGAGGGGGTGGTAATCCTGGTAATCCTGGAAATTGAAATGGGCTAAATGATCCAGTTGATTCAGGCCAGTTATACTTCAACTGGTCTAGCTGAGCCATTAGAACCATTTGGTTAACTTCCAACCAGTTGAACAGCAACAATACTTCAATACAAGTACGTCTGTATTTCCAATGTAAAGGCATTGGTAATAAGCAGACTTACATAATTTAATTAATCGAAAAAAATTCGTATACTTGTACTTTATTGAAATTATTTTAGTTCATAGTTAATGTTTCCCTTATTCATGTTTAACTAAATGTAATTTATACGAAGTAGCGAAATGTCCTAATAACTGGTAATTTATATTTGTAGTATTTTCGAAAAGAATTGCATATAACTAAATCATCAGTAATTAAGAAATATGCTGTAAATTCAGATAAATTGTTAAAAAAACATAGATCTGCACGCACCCCATTTTCAATATGCAAATTAACTGGTGTCAGCTGGTTCAACTCGAAATATGCCAACACTCAGTCATCAACCGGTGCAACTGGAAATATGCACACTCCAGTTATCAACTGGTGCAATGAAAATATGCCAACAGTCAGTTATCAACTGGTGAACATAGAAATATGCCAACAGTCATGGTATTATCACCACGAAACTTAAATGGTAACTGTGAAACCATCAAGACACCCAAGAATAACTCATTTTCACACCTGGAAAACACGGAATACCCAGCTTATATAAATAATCCGTTTGAGTCACGAGATCATCACCGCGGAACTGCTGGCAACGTTGACTACCATTTAAATAGGTGTTTTAAGACACCTAATCACGACTAATCATTCACACCTAAAAGTCACGTATGCCCAGCTTAGATTAATGTTCCGTTTAAGTCACGAGATCATCACCGCGGAACTACTGGCAACTTTGACTACCATTTAAATAGGTGTTTTAAGACACCTAATAATTACTAATTTTTCACACCTAAAAGTCACGTATGCCCAGTTTAGATTAATAATCCGTTTGACTCATGGGATCATCACCGCGGAACTTATGGCAACTTTGACTACCATTTAAATAGGTGCTTTAAGACACCTAATCATTACTAATTTTTTCACACCTAAAAGTCACGTACGCCCAGCTTAGATTAATATTCCGTTTAAGTCACGAGATTATTACCGCGGAACTGCTGGCAACTTTGACTACCATTTAAATAGGTGTTTTAAGACACCTAAAAATCACTAATTTTTCACACCTACATATCACGGATTCACAGCTTAGATTAGTAATCAGCTTGAGCCACGTGATCATAACCAAGAAATTTATGGTAACTTTGAAACCATTTAAAGAGGTGTGTAAGACACCTCCGAATTACTAATTTAATATAACCAGAGATTCACGGACAGAACAATAAGACGATTAGCCGGTGTAAGTAACGTGATTATTACCATCAACCTTGGATAACCTGTGAAACCAATCGATAAAGGTGCTTACAAGACCAAATAATTACGTATTTATCGCCACCATCGGTTAACGGACAAAAAACTCGTTGCTTTGTCAAGTGGTTATTTGGTCATAAACACTTTATTTACAGAGGTAAGTGGAATCACGTTACTCCAGTCGCGTGATAAACTAGTGTTTTTTAGGTTAGATAAAAACGTGAACAGGAATACCTTTTTTGTTTAAATGAAGGCACGTGTCGATAACGTTTAAATCTAGTTCAAAAGGCACTATACTTTGAAATCACTTAAAATACACTCCCAAAAGAGGTTACTTTTTAGTGTTCTGTTTATTGGGACCCCAAGGAAGAACAGTATTGTTCTCTAAACACTGCTGAATTGGGCTTTCCAAGGATTTTTGTCTATGTACCTGTAAAAATATTTATACTGTATATTTTATTATGTATAATATTTTTATCTGATTTTGGAAATAAAAACAACAACAACTCAAACAAATTCTTTGTCGAGTATCTGTACTACTAGGTTCAAATGCCTATAAAACGTACTTCCTGAATAGCAAATGGCTCCTGCGTCCCTTGAATGACTGCATGAGTAAAGTCCAATCCCTGAATGAGCACAGTCTGCTAGGTTGTCTTCAGTTCCGTCACAATTCACATACTTTAGCAGAATTGGACCAGATCCCTGCCCAAACGTAGCAGATCCCGGAGCGTCCAAAGCCCCGTCAAACCCAAGCATTCTGCAAATCACTCTGGCGTCTCTCGGGGGGGAGGGGTAGCTGAATTTCAGGAATTTCGTTCAAATCATCGATTGAGATGTAAAATTGAGATTTAAGTCACCAAAGTTTTTTTTTAATATTCATCTAATAAGCATGCCATTGACAAAGCAATAATTTGTACATACTTAGTTATAAGCGATAAAGAGGGAGAGAAGCATACTTCCTGATCAGTAGATGGCTTCTGCATCCTGCATTTGCAAACTTTTAATGTTAATTGAATTGATGTAATTTGTAGTCCAAATTCTGTTTCCTCTACTTATCTAATATTTTCTTCTAAACCGCTTAGAGGCAATTTGCAATTTGCGGTATACAAATATCTTGTTATTATTATTCATGAGACTGCAGGAGTAACGTTCAATCCCTGCTTGAACACAGTCAGCTAGTTTGTCTTCTGATTCGTCATATCTAGCATACTGAATTAACAATTACTGAATTAGGAAAATGCAAAATATACCTTCAGGTGTATATGCAAGCGAATAAGTAATAATTGTTACTCAAATGCTTAACCTATGAAAAATTATTTAACAAAACAACTCCTACCTCCCGAATAACAAAAGGCGCCTGCATCCTCTGTATGACTACATAGGTAACGATCAATCCCTGCATGAGCGCAGTCAGCTAGGTTGTCTTCTGTTCCGTCACAGTTGACCAAAACAAGGAGAATACGACCAGAGTCCTGATCAAACCTAGCGGATCCTGGTGCCTCCAAGGCTCCATCAAACCCCAGCATTCTACAAACCACCCTCGCGTCTCTCAGATCCCACCAGTCATTATCACAGATAGTTCCCCAGGATCCATCGTACTGTACCTCTATTCTGCCTTCAGCATCGTTAGATCCACTGACAAGACGAACTTTAAATGGCTGAGGATGGGCTAAGGAGAAAAGTATTTTTCAAGTTAAAATCTTTCACATTTTACAGGAACTCATATTTGTTTGTATCGAAGTGGTAGTTTGTTAATTAAAAAAAATTATGCACCGGGTTTGTGCAAAATAAAATTTGCTTTTAAAACAGCTTGACCGAAATTAACATTATTGCTTACAAATCATTCGACAAACGTAACAAATTTCCCTGAAAGATTGTTCAGACTTGGCGCGGCAAACTACCGGAGAAACTCTGCCGTGTAAATGAATGGCAACTGTGGGCAACAAAGGACACACGTTATTTCATTAAATATATATATATACCTATATGAATGAACGACAATTTATTTTCAGTGAAAGACTTTTATGAAGAAAGAAAATGGTCATGGTGCTGGCACCAATCAGACGAACCTCTAATGGATTTAGGTTGACTAGATTGAAAAGGAAAAATGTATGAACCAAAGCAAACTAAGAATATTTTTCCCCCTTTATGCGATTCAAACAGAATAGAATAGAATTACGATTGATCCTTTCCTCATGTCAAAAAGACTTCGTACCTCCTAAGTAACACACGGCGCCCGCATCCCAGCGATGCACACATGAAGAGGTGGTCCATATGCGTGGACAGTCCGCCAAGTTCTCTTCTGTTCCGTAACAATCGACACCAATAGTATCACCAACACCCTGACCAAACCTAGCCGATCGTGGCGCGTCCAGGGCACCGTCGAACCTCATCATCTTGCAAACCATCCTCGCTTGGAGCAAATACCAGTAACGATCGCAAATAGTGTGCCATGATCCACCGTACAAGACCTCCACTCCTCCTTTAGAATTGTTGGAGCCATTACTAAGACGTACCCCTAGGAAGAATACTGTCGATGGGTTCCTAAAATCTGCATTTCATTGTATTTTATCCCAAGTGATTCAGCGTGACGCAAAACGAGCAGAAGGATCCATTGCCCCTCGATTTATTTGAAAATATGATAACCACAAATGAAATTGTTTTGATCGTAAAACTGTGATAACTATTAGGGGCGATGCTAGACTTTTTTTTTGAGGGGGGGGGGGAGGCTTTAGCCAAATCTCAGACTGCCAACATTAATTGTGTCCAACGAGCTAGGAGTTTCTCTGTGAGACTATTTTCTCGTTATATGTTAATTAATATTTCGTGGAAGTAGAAGAGATTTAAAGATATAGGTTGGTAGACTTAAGAAAAGTCGGACTAAGCACAGGTCATTCATAATATTGTGTGTGGTTTAACATGGAGCCTTTCTACAAGATATCACGCCAATTATACCAAGAACGACTGGTTGAAGTTGATTAGATACTAGACCTTTTTATTTCCGAGTCACACATTTTGGTATTAATTGAATTCTACTGTTTGATAGGTAATTGAATTAATAAATATGATGAACGGAACAAATAAATATACAATTATTTGTTGAATTACTGCCCTCTCGTCTCCCAGGAACCTATTATTTACAAGCTATGCTTTTTTTTTTATAGGTTCATGTACATTTCTAAATTTTGTGCTTTTCTCGTCTGGGTATCCTTTAACATGATAACAATTTAAACACATTTGATGATATATAATTTTGTAGTCTCATTATTTTTGTCAATTACTATAATAGTTTATTTTATTTTATGAAACAATATGTCTTATTTTTGATTTTTGTTTATCTGTATTGAATCCACATGTGAAATGTGAAACCAATAACCTCAGCTCAACAGAACCCAATTCAGAAGTCGCGTTAGTCCGGAATCTGGCCTATTTAATTTTGATCTCCGCCACACCAACGCTTGTTTAAAAATATTATTATTACGCTACCTCCCCCTACTTACTTGCTACCAGTCGATGATGGCGTGATCATTGAATTAGGGCGCCGGCGCCGGCTGGTGAGCATAATTATCAGTTTGTTGATAACGCCATCTTCGACGGTTTGAATCAAGTGTGTAAGGAATTATCACCATGACCATGACTGACAAAGAAATTTGACAAAATATACAGTTCCTCAGGTAGACAAAGGAACATCCCTTCACTGCTATTATGTAAAACTGTGTAGAAAAGGTGTCACATGTATATTCACTTTTTACATAATAGCAGTGAAGGGATGTTCCTTTATTTACCTGAGGAACTGTATATTTTGTCCGCTTTCTTTGTTAGTCATATTCATAGTGTATAAAGGACCGGGCAGATTCTGGACTAAAGTCGCGTATGCAAGCGCGAGCACTATGTATCATTCAGATGAGACTTTCTTAAACTAAACAAATTTAGCCAATGGTTCGAAATTGGCAAAATATAACTCAACGACGTTTTAATGAATTAGTCATGTCGTTCATGAATGTAATGTGAATATTCATTCTCTCGCGAGTGCGGAAAAGCCAGAAAGCTGACATCTCTTGCATGCTTATCTCCTTTGACTAGTCATTCGTTCCTCCTCGTTACACGTGATGGCCTGTCGAAAAAATATGCATCATGGAGACCTATCCAGTTTCTAAAGACCTACATCAAGAATGCCTAGTTCCTATGTTTCATGGTTGAACAGCCATTTTTCGCCAGAAAACATTTTCAAGTATTGTATCCACAATAAACATATCATAGACATTTAGAATATTTCTTTATCCACTAAATGGGAGGGTTCTCTATTTGAGACAATAATTTAGGGCATTGCAAATAAGAGATTACGAAAATACGATCATTAGATGAAATCAGTTACAAAACATAATCATAGAAATACATTTTTACCTTTCTCAATTTTTTTTTTTTTTGTTTTGTTTTTTTTTTGGGGGGGGGGGGGTGGGTTCGATTTCTTGGAAACTTTTACTGTTACGCTTTTCCGACATTTCTGTGTCTGTTGGGAACTGTTTGTGAATTATTATTCTGTTTTCATGTTTCTAGTGTGCTTGGTAGTGGAAATACTACGTTCAATCACTGGTATACATGGATATATAGACTTGGCCATTTGTAATAGGCTCTTGAATTCCCTACTTTAGGCGGAACGTATGGACAAAAGCGTGAGCAGGACCACTCCATCTAGCTACAATCAGCAGGACCAGGATTCCTTAGACATTTAATAGTAAAGGGCCGTTGGTAGAAGAGGCGGAACCATTTCTCGTACCTCTTAAAGAACATAGTACAACACTCTTGCAGAGCTAGCTTGCCGGTAACGAAAGGCTGCAAGTAGCTACTTTCATCCAGTAGGGTATGAATCGTCAATGTCAGATCTGTAAAGGTTTATGTGGGGCTGGACTCGCCACCAGCTGACGAGGTCGCTGAAGCGTTGAGATCCTACATTTAACCCTAATAAGGGGGGGGGGGCATTATGCCCCCCCCCCCCTCCACGATTTTTCTGATTGCTCGAGAACGCATATGGATGGCGCCCCGCCACTCGCTGACTTTTTTCTTTCGAGTCTTGCGCAACTTTTAAAAGAATTTTCTTGAAAATCGGACGTACGGTTACAAGGTCACGTGACCTTTTGTCTTTGCATGTCACCCCGAAAATCGCTCATTTTCGTGATTTGTGTACAAAACATATGGAAAAGTCATATTTTCTAAAAACAGATCAAACATGGGTTATTGGGTCTTGTTTAAAGTTTAGGTGGTTGTTTTGGGTGTCAAAATAGTTGAATTGTAGTAAGAAATGAAATAAAACAACAAAAACAATGAAATACATGAGTTAAAAAAACAATGAAATAAACATAAGAAATTACCAAAACAAGGGATAACATAAGGAATAAGCTGGCTCTTCCAAATTTTTTTGTTGTATTATTATTCAGAATGGTCTAATGAATATATGTAGTGAAAAAGAATGCCTAATTATGAATAATATATGATTAAGGGTAAAAATGTGAGTTTTATGACTTTATTTGCATAAATTACCATAAATATGCAAATGAGCGAATTTTTCAAAAAATTGAAATCTTATTATTATTCTATACACTTCACTTGACATGCGTGCAAATTTTCGCGGCGATTGGCCGCTTCGCGGTCGAGATCTTAAGGGGGGGGGGGCCATAATGCCCCCCCCCCCCCCGGCCATACTAAGACCTCAAATAGCCCGGCCTTATTAGGGTTAATAAAAACTTACTACGCCTAGTTGGCAACTAAAACTATGTACTCATGGTACAATAGCCTAGATAATTAATTGACAACTAGATTAGTAAGGTTTATTCAAATGGATCCCATGCACGACCAAGACGATAATGTTTTGCTAGAGGTAAGTACAAACGTAAAACAATGTTTTCTTTTCAGAAACTGAGAAGTATTTAATAGACTTTCCTTCTTTTTTTATTTTAATCTCTTTGTTTTTATAACGTAACTACTCTAGGATATGATTCAACGTAAACACCTCAGGTAGCTTTTTATTAGATTTTATAGGAAATGAACACAGATTGTGAATCAGATTATGTGATGTAACCGTTTCAGTCTGAGTGTGCTAAGCCACAGGGAATATCCCTCCCATGCTCAACCTTTTTAAGTTGATAACGTGTTTACATATTTTCTTCAATATCACATCTGTATTTTAAGTGGAAACTAGTTCTTTTTTTATGCTTCCTCTAAAACTTTTTATTTATACATATTAGCATATATTATAGGGGCGTGATTTTTGTTGGGGGTGGGGGTGTTCAATGCAGTTTAACTTTTTCCTTCCGCCTCTTCGAACCTGTTTTTGTGAAAAATGACTGAAATTAGCCACGAGCTGTGCCTCAATAGTTTCTTTTATTTCTAGAAATGCTGTTTGGTAAGAAAATGAGGATTGTTACTATCTGTAGTTGTCGGTAACCCTGACTCCGGGGAAGCATGTCTTAGATAAACGCTGCAGCCTTAACGAGGGAAAGCCATCGCAGCGACCTACATGAAATGGAGATGGGTTGTCACGCACGCCATAACATGACGAGTTGTGTTATAGCACAGAAAGTGCAGCAGAGACAGTTATTTCTTCCTAGTTCATTTGTACTCACGCTTGTAAACAAATATGGATTTATATCTATGGTGTATGGTATATATATATATGGTGTGTGCGTAATTTGGTAAATATTTCACGTGTAAAGTAGAGGCATGATATTCCAATAAACATATTAGATATAGGCTTACGGAATGCTGCCTTGGACCGTTGGTTAGGTTGTCGAACCTCACCCCCTTCTCATCTCTTTCCCCTCTCACGCTCTTTCCATTTCGTTCAAGTTATCTCGCAGCTTTTCTTCCTGATGCACTATATTATTACCACATATATGGTAGCGTCAAGTTTGATATTTCAAAATGTATTTCTCATTTGCATAAGCTGCCCGTGAATTTTCAAGGGACTCAGGTATATATATTACACAAATATTGCATATTTCGTCGATCAATATAACAAAATATATGAACAAATATTTAAAAATATATTTCAAGTTGAAATATCATGGCTCGAGGAAAATTCTGAATTTGGAGGTGTAGATATGTTATAGGGAACAACGAAATGCATGCAATGTCTGTTAAATCAAATTCAGGGTATACTTGTAATCCTTTTGAATGACGCCCCTTTTTATTTTTAGAGAATTACATCCGCCAAGCTAAGACATTGTAAACAATAGGTACGCGTAGGACTGAGAGGTGCACAGTCTAATTAACTTTAGTACGCGTTAGTAACGTTGCACGTTCGTGGCACATATAGAAATATTGCATGCTGCGGCGTTTCAGTATAACGAAAAGTGTGAGCCGACAACTTTAGAATTTCCTGAGTGATGTTATATTTTACCGAGGCTGCAGGAAGGATAACCCTGCCAAGGTTAGGATATATTGGTTCGAGGGACATTCCGAATTTGAAAGTGAATATATGTTATACTGAACAACGCAATACATGCAATATTTTTTATATAAAATTGAGGGTATTTTCCATCTCATACATTACTCCTTTGGAGCCCAGCAATGCGCGCTGCTCAACAATGGAGTGTATGCAGATAAGAGAGGTGCGCAGAAGATTCTGTTTTGTATGAGTTATACCGTGTAGTGATAATTTGTCATCATTCAACAATTAGTGAAAAGAACATTTGTATATATTGATGAGAAGAAACCTTGTTTTAACAAGGTGGTGTTAATAACACATACCCCACAAACGACTTATATCCCGACACAGCTTCCTCGATTCTGTCCCACCACCTGAACAGAATCCTCCACCATCAGCCAAGCCCGTACTCATCAAACGGCTTAACCTGAAGTGGCCAGAGTGGCAATGCCTAAATCGAATGCGGACGAGAATGGGGCGGTGTAAGGTCAATATGGCAAGATGGGGCTATGCCCATGAAGGAGATACTCCCTGCGACTGCGGAGAGACTCAGACGATGGACCACATCTTGCAGTGCGGCGGAACGGGTTGCACAGATGAAGACCTGGCCCTCGTTAATGAAACGGCCATTGCAGCAATCGGGCAATGGAAGAACTTAATTTAATTTAATTTAATTTGAATTAAGGAACTTTACATAACTATCTTGATCTAAGGAGACACGAACGAACGAACCTACATTTATTTGTTTCAAGTGTTTCCTCTTTAAGATCATGTACATATAACAATAAGACAGTGAACAAATGTAAACACGACATCATTTTCTCATTTATCCTTATTTATACATGCAGATTTGTGGTTGCAAAAACCGATTATATATTTTTCCCCACTTCATAAAATATGATACCGTAATAACTAAATCTAAAGAGGTATTGAAATTATATCAAGTCAAACAACGAGAAACTTACCTCAAACACCCTCCACGAACAGTGAAACCTTTAAACTTGAGAAGTTATTAGAAGACAAATTTATTTCAATCACATTCATAAGAATATAAACGACCTCTCTTAATTTCTTATACTTCTTTTTTTAAAGTCCAAGAGACTTTAAAACCGGGTACAACACTTTTTAAAATTTAAAACAAGACTATCAAAACAATCAAAATTTGATGTCCATAAACCATAATTCTGGTCTAATGAATTAAGTTTTCAAGTCGAATAAGATTCGCCTTCGTCTGCGCGCTCATGCATGAGATCATCTACGAGCAATCCGATTGACAAGTAGTTTATATCCTCACAGCTTTATTTGCAGAAGTCAATTTCTTTAAAATTCGTAAACGCTTATTTAGTGAAATTAGAAATTAAAAAAATTAATGTTTAAAAAGTATGTTTAAGCCTAAAAAGGATTTAAAATTTAAGTACTAGAAATTTAGTGATGGAGTTTCTTATTAGGATATCTACCGAAACGTTGACACATTAGGTAAATTTATTCTAGAGATGATCTAATTAATTTGCATAAAATTTGACAATATGACTGCATGCTATGCTCAACACCTGAGAGTAAATTTACATCAGTGAGGTCAACACATTTCCAAAAAAGGGTACAATGTTTAAAATTACTTCCAAAATAAATATTCCACCGTTAATTTAAAAAGATAAAGAAGCAAATATTTCGAAAGATGACATAACATTTTTTTTTAGAAATAACGTATTATATCACAGATCATTGTATTATTATGATTCTTACATTTTTAAAGAAGATATTCATCGAAATGTTTGCAAACGTTTTCATTATTTTTTTGATGAAGGAAATATCAAACACTAATCAAAAACTCCCTCTTTATAAATATATATGAGGTGGATATACTGTAAGGTCCATTATTATAGACTGGCAAACACCTTCTTTAAATGCATATAACCATGCAAACATTTCTATTAAAAACATATGTTTTCAATTTATCTTCAGAAAGAATTTTGCGCAATATTCTTTCTGAAGATTAATGTCCCTTCCTCTAATTTCGTCCGTGAATATGCAATATGACGGCCAAATCATTTGTTGAATCTCTTCCTAATCTGGAATATCATAATCGTTTTTTTCTGATGATCCCTCTGTAAACTCTTTACTACCTCCGATACACAGCATGGGGGATCCATGCGTATTGTCAGGTTTTTCTTCAACATGCTGCATGATATCGCATGGTAATTCAATCGTATCGTCGCCTACAGCACTTGGCAGAAGATATCCATCGTTGTCTTCTTCATCAAACGTTACGGATCGTTTGGAAATGGTTTTTAAGTCCATGTGCTTGTGAATTGAATCTTGTTTCGTACATTCCTGTTGCAGTGTAGGAGTCTGTTCATTTGAGCTACTCCTTTCACAAACACTAGTGAGAAATATATCTCTATCGTTTTGAGACAAACAACTCTGTTCTGCACTTTCAACATTCGGTTTATCTCCGGAATTTAAACCAGATGCTCTTGGCAAAATATAACCGTCAAGGTCTACATCATTTCCCTCCAATAGCTGTTTGTTATTATTCGTCATATCTAAATATTCATGGGTGTCAGTTCGTACAGTAACTTGTGCATTACCTAGCGGCTCATCTTTTTCACATTTAGTTTTACTTGGAAGAAGATATCCGTCAAGATCTACATCCTTTCCCATTGTAAGTTGTTTGTAAACAGTGTTCATATCCATATACTTGTGTGGATTATTTTGTCCAATAATTTGCACAGTATCTACTGGCTCACCTGTTTCATCATGGCAGATTGCTCTGGATACTGTAGCTGTATTATCCTGTGGTAACGTATCTGAGTCTTTATTTCCAACGCGGAGGCTATAAGCATAAATATGTGCATCCTTGTTCGTTGAAGCTGTCTTGTTCGTAGGAGTCATGTCCATATAGTCGTGGGTGTTGTCACCTATTCTTGTCTGTTGTGCCAAAATCTGCTCCTCATCCGTATAAAACCGCTGGTTCTGGCAGGGCTCTATGATCGTACTACCTTTACTCGACCTCGTTAAGCGTCGTTCTGGGAGTTTGGGAGGACCATTTAAATCCTGATATGTAGAAGCTACAAACCTGTCCTGGTTTATTCCTGTGTCGTTAAAATCCATGTAAATATCGTTTTCTAAGTTCCGTCTTGACCTTGACTTGATGGCCCTACGTACACAATATGCAAGTGTTGCCCCGATGAAGATGATCACAAGCAGTACGCAAATCCCGGTAACAATTGTCACTTTTAGATTTTGAAGAGGGTTCTTCGAGGTTGGTGTAGAAGGGTTCTTCGAGGTTGGTGTAGATTCATTTGTTGTAATTGTTTCACTGCTGCTTGTTCCACCGGTTTCAGATTCCGTCGTGCGATCTAAATGAGGATTGGAACACGAATAAAAAGGAACATTTGATTGAAAATGGATTTAAGGAGCTGGAATCCAAAATCTTCTCCCCAACAGGAACGAAATACTGTAATATTCAGCCCCGAAATTTGTGTTCAACCATTTTTTGCAAAACAATACAAAATAACCACCGTAGTGGTAAAGTCAGCAATTCTAAGAACTTATCATTTACCTTTGCAACTCGTGGTAAATACTTCAAGATATTAACATGTACACCATTCGTTAATTATTTGCCGTAAATGTTTCACTTGATACCGAGAACTACATTTATGATGTAGTGCCATACCTTTTTGGATGCAAATAACGCTGGCATCCTCGTTGTGGGCGCAGTTGTGCTCATCGATGCCGTGATGATCGCAACGTTCAATGTCAGTTTCTGTACCCTGGCACTGAACGTCATCGAGAAAGATGCTCCCAGATCCTTTACCAAATCGAGCATCAGGTGGGGCCTCCACAGCTCCATCAAAGCCTAACATTCTGCAAACAACCTCCGCGTCCTTGATATCCCAGGAATCGTCGCAGACAGTTCCCCAGGAGCCATCGTGTAGAATCTCTACTCTACCTTCAGCGTCATTAGATCCTCCAATCAGACGTACTAGAAAAGTAATGCCGTACAGTTTTTAACAGATTGAAATAAAACAAAATTTCATCTGAGCAAGTAATTTTGCAAGCACTTTTAAAATTCAACGTTTTTTTGTAGGTAGCAGTATGCCTACGTTTTTTTTTATCCAGCCGTAATTCATATATATAGAAAGGTATGTCATCACAATTGATGGCACCAGAAATACATTTTTTACAACTACTGCACTTTCTTCGAATTTTTGTATCCAAAAGTTTGAAACGTAATAGATCAGGAAGATATATGTCGTTCTATTGGAACTTTTGGTTAGAAAGCTAAAAACATGTTAACACGTAAATCCATCATGTACTGTAGAAATGAGTCGTACCTCCTGAGAAACAAATGGCACCCGAATCGCTGGCATGGTTACAGTTATGGACTGTTATTCCTCTGTGATAACAATCTGCTATGTTGTTTTCTGTTCCGTGACACTGGACGTCATCAAGCAGGATACTGCCATTGCCCTGACCAAACCGTGCAGAAAATGTTGCAGCCAAAGCTCCATCAAACCCCAACATTCTGCAAACAACTCTCGCATCGTTCAGATCCCAGCCATTGTCACAGACAGTTCCCCATGATCCATCGTACATAACCTCTACTCTACCCTCTGAATCTTTCGCTCCATCGGTGAGACGAACCTTGAATGGGTCTGTGAAGTTTTACAAATATCAAATGAAATAGCAATTTTAAGTATTAGGAGAGGAAAATGAGTCTGTGGAAAGTAGCCAAAGCACGATCGGTAGTTTTTCAGACATCAAATCAAGAGCAGTGCCAATACACTATTGTATATTCCTTGTTTATTACGTAATGCATCGGTCATCCCAATTTTAGACACTTTAAAGAAGCTCATGGAAAAGGCTGTTAAAATGATTTTGTTTCACTGTCTTTGCGATCATGTCACAAGCGCATGGGTGTACGGGTATACTATTGAACTACAAACAGATGGAAGAAAGATCAATTTTTTTATATAAATCATATTCTATACAAGTCGGAATTTTGAGTTGTGAATAGACTACAAGTATCATCCCATACCTCCTCTGAAGCAAATGGCTCCGGAATCCTCTTCGTGTTCGCAATCGGAGACGCCAATTCCTCGATGGTAACAGTCTGCCAGGTTATCGTGTATACTTTCACAGGATATATCATCAAGTAGTATATCTCCTGAACCTTGACCAAATGAAGCAGAACCTGGTGCGGCTAAGGCTCCATCAAACCCCAGCATTTTACACACGACCCTTGCATCTCTTAGATCCCACTCATGATCACAAACGGTTCCCCAAAAACCATCATACAAGACCTCAACTCGCCCTTCAAGGTCGGTAGATCCGTTAACGAGCTTAACTAGAAATGGTGCTGGGGGGGGGGGGATTGGAGGAATTAAAATAAATACGTATGTATGTAATCAGTTGATTCTGGATTTCTCTCTGTAAAGGAGCCAACAACAGCTAGTAAACAACAGCCCTGTAGTGACCTTACATACTAATATAAAAGTTTCATGCATATCAATAAGATGGGAACATAGATGCAATTCCTGTAACAATTATTAAGAGCTTCTTCTGACACGAACGTTATAATGATGTCTCTATACGTCCGATTCGTACGTGGAAGAGCATCTACTTTTAAAGTCGACTGGAAAAATAATTGTGAGATAAAGTGGTGTCGAGTACTCGTATTTGATTGAATCTTAAAATCATTTATTTTGGTAATAACGGATCTACATGTACAGACAAAACGATACATTTTTTTTATAACGTTCCATTAATTAATGTATATGTAAATGACCCTATTGTCAACTGTTCCCAAGCCCCACGTCAAACAAAACGTTATCCTTGTCCCTTGTAGGATAAAGGACGAACGGGACTCAAAACTTAAAACACCCCATTGGTCACGTGAAAACAGCAAGACCAACACGATGAAGACCATGAGGTTCACAATTGTAACAACCGTTGTACGAATTTTAGATTTTCAAAGCCTTTGAGAACTACTACATACAATCCTATTAACGTACCTCCTCTAAAACAAATAACACCTGCGTCCCTGTCATGTTCACAGTTGTTGACTCCAAGCCCTCGATGGTAACACTCAGCAAGGGCGTATTCTGTACCCTTGCATCGGACGTCATCAAACAAGATTTTACCGCTTCCGGCACCAAACGTAGCCCTACCAGGTGCGGCTAAAGCTCCGTCAAATTCAAGCATTTTACAAACTACTCTTGCGTCTCTTAGATCCCAGTTGTCATCGCATATAGTTCCCCAGCTTCCCTTATACAAAACCTTCACTCTGCCTTCTGAATCCGTGGTTCCATTGGTAAGACGAACTTGAAATGGCTCTGTTATGTTTAATGAGTAGTCAGGATGAAAAGCAGAATAGGTTTATCAGATTAAAAGTACATACTCTTACAAGGAAATGTAATCATAAACCCCTCTTTATAAAAATCCAGTACATAGATTGGTTAAGAGCACCTCACATGACCAGAGATATCTAGAGAAGAGCAATCCGCTAACTATAACAATAAAATTAAGGTGAGACGTTGTAGTGAGGAAAATTAAAAGTCTCGCTTGTGTGCGGAATTCATTTTCGTGCGTTTAACCTCAATTGCTGAATAAGGGAAATGCAAAATATACCCTCAGGTGTAAATGCAAGCGAATAAGTAAGAATTATTTACTCAAATGGCTAACCTATGAAAAAAAAAAATTAAAAAAAAACACCTACCTCCCGAATAACAAACAGCGCCTGCATCCCTCGTATGACTACATGTGTAACGCCCAATCCCTGCATTGGCACAGTCTGCTAGGTTGTCTTCTGTTCCGTCACAGCTGACATGAGTTAGCAGACTACGACCAGAGCCTTGACCAAACCGTGCAGATCCCGGTGCGTCCAAGGCTCCATTAAACCCTGCTATTCTGCAAACCACCCTCGCATCTCTCAGATCCCAGCCAACATCGCAGATAGTTTCCCAGGAGCCGTCGTACAGTACCTCTACTCTGCCTTCAGCATCGTTAGACCCACCGACAAGACGAACTTGAAATGGTTTTGGATGGACTATTTATAGAGAAGAACGTAGAACATGCTTTTTTGAAATGATATCACCACAAATTTCAAGTTTAATAAACAAAAGTATGAGGGCACTAACAAATAATTTGCAATTGGTTGCATTTAGATATCCTATAAAGTACTCCCAAACAACTAACCCCAATTTTAGTGAGGGCCTTAGATGATGAGAGAGAATACCGCATTGTCGGCTTAATATATCCATGTGTAGAATAATGGAAATTATTATATTGGATGTCGTTGCTTCTCATGCAAAACAGTCGTTAAGACAGAATGAAAATACCTAGGGCTTGGGGGATTCTTTGAACATCGTAATATATATTTCGTTGGTATAATAATTGTTCTAGTACACATTAAAAGGTCAAGTACAAACTAATTGTCCAGAATGTTGATTTTTCTATTTTGTGAAAGACTTGGCTTCATGATAACAAAACGTCATGGTAATACATCGAAATATATTGCTTAAGAGGTAAATGGAGAATCTCAAAGTCATTAATTAATAACTGTTCCGACGTTCGTGCTCATCCAATAAGCACTCAAAAGAATTCATTTCGAGTAGGTGGACTACTAGCAAGGTTAAAATACAGAGAAAACATACTTCCTGAGAAGCAAACGGCCCCTGCATCCCTTGTATGACTGCAGTCGGAGTAACGTCCAATCCCTGCATGAGCACAATCTGCTACGTTTTCTTCAGTTCCGTCACAATTGACATACTTTAGAAGACTACGACCAGAGCCCTGACCAAACCGTGCAGATCTCGGTGCGTCCAAGGCTCCATCAAACCCCAGCATTCTGCAAACTACCCTGGCGTCTCTCAGGTCCCATAAAAAATCACAGATACTTCCCCACGATCCATCATGCATGACCTCTACTCTGCCTGCAGCATCATTTGATCCACCGACAAGATGAACTTGAAATGGATTCGGATGGGCTTAAATGAATTTTGAATAGAGTAATTCGTTTTTACTAATGTAAGTTTGTAATATTTACACAGAGGTTTAGCTACTTTTGTGGAAAATATTACCTTGAGAAAAGATGTATATTTCAGAACCATTATGTACGTTTCCATATCATTTATATAAAAAAGTATAGACAATACATTATTTTATAAATACGAATATCTCTATTGAAATTAAATAAACCATGTCAAAGCATATATGCTTTGCATATATACCAGTGTTATAGTGCATTGGCATTAAGGCACCTTGAGGCCCATTTTTGTTTTGCTTATTGCCTTGGCTTTGGCTTTAAGGATTCAAATCGTTGTTATTTTTTCTAGATATCCTAAGTTCAAGTTCAAGTTCATTTATTCAAAACCACACAAAACGTCATATAATCTTTTAAATGAAAAAGAGACTGGTAATAGTACATTAATCAACATATAATAACTTGATTACACCATTAATTGAGTGGTTTTAGGACCCCTGTAGAAGCTAAGCTTGTGAGCAGGGCCCTATAGTCAACAAAATACATACATTAACGATATGACAAGGTGAATAAAAAAAGAATGTAAGGTTTATACAAGAGATGGAAACAAACTAAGCTACAGAATATAGAACACAAAGAAAATATTCACACACACGCGCGCGCACACACACACGCACACACAGTCCTTAGTGGTCTAAAAGCATTAGAGAATGAGAAATTATTAAGTTACAAAGTAGAATTATGTTAGTCTTCCAAGTAGGTACGTTTTAGATAACCTTCTAAACCTAGAAAGAATTGTACTATTTTTTATATCGTCAGGCAAACTGTTCCATTCTTTGTCTGCTAACAGGTTGTTATGAGGACAATACCAATTGTAGTTGCAGGTGAACATAATAGATCGAGAACATTGCCCCTCTTACAAATCCTAAGAGAACATTACAATGTTTCCCCCCCCCCCCCCCGTGACAAAAAAGTGTCCTGGTGTCAAATTACCCCTTTTTGTGGCCCTAGTTTGTCCTCATTCATGTCAATACACATGCCTCTTTTGATAGAAAGGTCTATATCTTGGTTAGTTTCATTGCTGATCCCCCAAACATGCCTAAGTACAAGTCAAATCTGATATTCGATGTCACCTCTGACAAAAAGCGTCCCATCAAAGTGAACACATTTCGTTGCAATGATATAACAGTATGCCCTTCTGGAGCTAAAAGTGACCATGACGTAAACAAGTGCAAAATAGAGGGTGCAACATAAAACATACATCATATGCGCCCCCAAAACGCAGGGTTAATTGCATTAGGTATTATTTTTTGCAATGGACCCCGGCTTCTCGTAACTTTAGGATATCGTTATTCTTACCCCGCTCCATAACATAACTTATAAATAGCTCTTTAAAGAGTGCATAATAAAAAATAAGAAAAGAGAGAATGTCATCGTCATTCCCATGCCCCTTAAATAAGCCTTTATGTTGCACTGGCCTGATGTAAATATTGCGCCCCAGAAATAGGAAAATATACATATGTTTTAAAATAACACTTGCAAATTGTTCAACATTTAAAGGAAATCTTAACTTTGGAATGCCTTTTAGTACCTTCACAAGATGTATCCTGGGGTTAGAAAATATCATATTTCGATGATTATAATTCGAACTCTATACCGTTCGATGGAATTGCACCCTTAAGAATATTTCTGGGTAAATCGCGTACAATCACTTTGAAGGCTCGCCCCTTGTCAAATACAGATTTGAGTTTGAGTGGAGAGGGTAGAAGACAATCTGTTTACCACAAATGCCATAATCCCTAGCTACGCCACTGGTTGCTGTGCTACCTTTCATGAGAGCTATAATTCACTTCCTTGGCATACCAAGTAAGAAGCCTTATATCGTACATTGGGCCTGACAGCAAATTAAAAGATGAAAAGGGCATTGGTAGTTTAAAAGCAGTTATACATCTGATAATACTAACATACAGTGCAAAACAGATTGAAGGGTTACCTACGTGATTTCTTAACCAAATTTGAATGCAAGCTTCAATTCAAGTTTTGTTAAAGATACAGTTCTATTCAATTGATATTTGAGGCAGGAGCGCTTCAAAGACGAAGTTGAGTTCTGGTTATGCGATTGCATTGTGAAGGAAACGTTGTGGAATCGATCAGAAAAGGTTGATCATGTAGCATATAAGTATTGGTGTGTACTGCAAGGTTCTGGAATCATCAAAATGATAAGAAGTTGGCCCAGTCTTGGTAAAGTTACAAGCACTGTACACAGAAAGATGTATATGAGGCTTCACGAACATGTGGCGTAAAAATCCGTCCCGATTTTTGTATGATGTTGCCATATTAAGAATATTAAGGCATTTGAAGAGCCATGCTTTTCAGGGAACATTTTTTATCTGATGTACTTCCACACTTGCATAATACAATGATAACACTCACAAATTATTTTTCACCTCTTCCCAGAACTCAACCTTCTCTTTAAGTCTCTTTTTATCGCTCGATTAGTTTGATCACCAGCTATTTACATTTATATTTCAAGGAAATCGATAACACAATTATATAGATGTAGAAGGTTATGAAAAGGGGTGATGAAACTGAATATTTGTAACACTTCTCCACAAATAGAGAGAAAACATACTTCCTGAGTGGCAAATGGCTCCTGCATCCCTTGTATGACTGCATGAGTAACGTTCAATCCCTGAATGAGCACAGTCAGCTAGGTTGTCTTCTGTTCCCTCACACTCGACATAGGAGAGAAGAATCCGACCAGAACCCTGACGAAACGTAGCAGATCTCGGTGCGTCCAAGGCTCCATCAAATCCCAACATTCTGCAAACTACACTCGCGTCTCTCAGGTCCCATGAATAATCACAGATAGTTCCCCAGGATCCATTATGCATGACCTCTACTCTGCCTTCAGCATCATTAGATCCACCGACAAGATGAACTTGAAATGGATTCAGATGGGCTAAAAATGAATTTTGAAAAGTGTAAATCGTTTTACCAGTGTAAGGATATATTATTTACACACAGGTTTAGCAACTTTTTTTGGAAATGATCACATTGCGAAAACGTATTTTTTTTCAAAAAATGATTTACGTTATTTTAAAAAATGAACGCAATCCATATGTTTTTGTTAATAAATACAAACATCTCTTTTGAAATATAATAAACCATGTCAAATTTTAGCTATGCCTACCTATATCAATGCTGTAGTTTATTTGCCTTTTCCCATTGCCTTGGTATTAGCCTTGATGATTCAAAGCGTTTTTACTGTTTCTAACAATCCCAAGGCAATTTCATTAATTTTACTTTTTTTAAAGTAAAATTGTAGTTTGGTTGCTTTGTCTAATAACAGTTTGCTATGAAGGCAATACCGATTTTTCATGTAGGTGAACATAACAGATCAAGAAAATGTCCCTCTTGCAACAAATCCTAAGAGACCAACACAATGTCCCTCCTCTGACAGAAAAAGTCCCCCGATGTAAAATCCCCCTTATTTTTCGTCATTCATGTCGATACACATGCCTTTTTTGATAGGTAGCTATACATCTATGTTTCTAGGCTTTGGTCACTGCTGATTCCACCCCCCCCCCCCCCACCAGTAGAAGTAAAAGTCAAATCTGGCTTTTATAAATTAAATTTGATGTCACCTGTGACAAAAAGCGTCCCATCGAGTTAAACACATTTCATTCCTTTGAAGGCGGAACAATACGCAAAATAGATGGCGCGAAAAAACATCATATGCGCCACTAAAACGCAGGGTAAAAAGGCATTAGGAATTATTTTGTGAGATAATAAAAGCAACACATTTCTAAAGCTCGATCGCAGTGCGCTTTGTTACAACATATTAGGGGCATTTATAAGAAATGAAAAGGGCATTGATAAAAAAGGGATAGGTTCCTTATTAGAAAGGAAAAAGGGGCACATATCATTGCTAAAAGGGTAATCATTACAGGTGAAAAGGGGCACTTATCGCTTCTGAAAAGGGACACTGACCATACATGAAAAGAGGCACTTATGAGAATGAAAAAGGGGCAATAATGATAAATGAAAATGTGCATTTGCTGAAAGAAAAAAGGCACTGATCAGATTTTCATAGGGGCATTTCTCGGAGGTGAAAGGGGGCTTCTATATGAAGGGGTAAGTGGCTCTTATTAAAAAGAAAAAGAGGCACATGTTGAAATAAACGGGGCACTTATCAAAGATGAAAAGGGGGTAACTGTGAGAAGGGAAAGGGGCACTTATAAGAGATAAAAAGATCATTTATTAGGAAGGAGAAGGGGGAAGTATCAAAATAAACGGGGTATTGTTGAGAGATGAAAAGAGCACATATCAGGAGGGGAAGGTGCACCTGTCAAAGTAAAACGAGTATCTCTCAGAATTAAATAGGGTCATTTAACAGAGATGAAATGGGTACTTATGAGAATGAAAAGTAAATGTTTTCATAGATGATAAGGGAAATTTAGGAGAAGGGAAGGGGGCTCCGTTTAAAGGGGGCACTTATCATCAGGAAAAGGGGCACTCATTACAAAGTAAAGGGGACGCATGTAAAGTTATACGGTGCGTTTATCCGGGTTTAAAAGGGGTAGTTATTAAAAGGAGAAGGGGGACTTTTTACAAAGCAAAAGGGGAACTTGTCAAAGCAAAAGGGTAACCTGTCAGATTTGAATAGGGCAAATATCAGAGGTGAAGGGGGCGCTTATCAAAAGTGAAAAGGGGCGCTTCTCGTACCTAAAAAAGGGATTTTCCTAGAGATTAAAAAAAGGAACTTATTGGAATGAAAAAAGGAAACTTATTGCAAAGAAAAAGGGGTACGTGTCAAAATAAAAAGGGCTCTTTTAAGAGTTGGAAAGGGGAAGGAGCACTTTTAAAAAATATATAGGGGCACTTTTCGGGTACTTGAAAAAGTAGGAGGGCACTGTGCCCCCCCCCCCCCCCCCCCCCCTCCGGGAGCGCCGCCTCTGAAGGTCTATCACGGTATCCTTCTTCCTCGTTGCTCACGTCCATCCCGTTTTGCCCATAAAGGCCGCCGGGAATAGAAATGTAAACATATCTTCAAATGACGCCACAATAAAAATAAGCACCTTGTTCGAGGGAAAGCTCAGTACACTCCATAAAGTTGCAACTTCAAGCATCTCCGTCTGGCTGCCGCCAGCTACAACATTAAGCATCTCCGTACGGCTGCCGCCAGCTGCAACTTTAAGCAAGGAAGCCTATTGCAACCTAAGTCCGGCGGCAGCTTGCTGAGCAAATTATGGAGCATGACGGCAGGCGGGGGAGGATTGGCCAAATAAAAATTCCGGGTAAAACTCTGATCCCAACCTGGCGTCAGACGGCTGTGCTAATAAGTGAAAAGTAATTGCCCCGTTCGGCTGCAGCTGGATATGCAGCCTCAAACAGCCATCGCATGAGGCTGCAGCCAACTGGTATATTTATTTTTTGACGCCTCGCCTTAAAGGGTTCAGATAATAACAAGAAGAGAATGTCATCGTCACTCCTACGCTCCTTAAAATAAGTTTTGAGTTGCATCGGTATAATGTTTGAACTGCGCCCTTTAAATAGGATAACATATGTATAGTTTAACATGGCATTTGCGAATTTTCAACATTTTCAGAGAAATCTTAACTTTGAGATGTTTTTTTTAATTTCCTTATAAATAAAATATCGTTTATAAGGTGATACGTACGAAGTATACGTATCAAATATTGATTTCGTCAAGATTTTTCTTTCTTTATTTATTTATTCTTCCTCAAATTTGTTCGCAAGATATCTCAAGACTGAATAAAGCCATTATCATGAATCTTGCCATGATAATAGATATTAGTCTAACTTAGAACTGCGGGACTTTTCAGTGACTCAAAGTCATCGTGACGTCATCCAGGCGCCATTTGTCATTTCTCATTGATATTTATCTTGATCAAGGTCAATATATGTCCGGTCAATTTCAGGTCAATAAATGCGCGAAAACATGCGCGTACGCGTACTTGTTTTGAATACGTTTCAGCCCATTATAAGCATTTTATAAAAAATCGCGCAAACGCGCATTTTTGCGCGTTTCCATTCGTCACGGCCAAACGCAAAATAGTCACCCCTCAATTTGTTTTGACAGGATATTCCTCATATTTTTTCGCTTTATCTTTATCTTTATCTCTTTATCACTATCAATAACGGAATGAGCCTCTGTTCAAGATAACTGTCCGTACGCGCGAGCTCTTGTAATACATAGCATATATTACAAAAACATACATATAAAAAGTCCATTATAGCTCTTTGGGATGAATAGGGACTGCCAATTTTTTTCATATTTGGATAGAGTATGATTCGGAGATATGATTTCATATCTCATTTGGACATTGAGGACATCTTGACGTCATCATAATGGCCTTGGAAGTCAAAATACAAAATTGCATATTATGACGTCATTGTATTTATGGAAAATTTAGTGTATTTCTCTCAATAGTTATCAATTTTCTTGTAAAATTTGATGTGTTGTAGTCGAGGCAATTGTCTACAAGATCAATACACTATAATTTTCATTTTAATGATGTCATCATAGTACAAAATTCAATTGATGACTGACACAGCGACGTCACTGACAGGTGGCTATCTCATTAACTCAGCTCTCAACTAACATAAGAAAAAGAGGATCATGGGGACCAACAGGCACCGATTGGGGAAGTTTTCTATATAGAGGGAGCAAGTAGCTACAAGTAGGACAGTGGGGCTTTAAAGGCCACGTGTCAGAATTTCTTGATTTGCGTGTTATGCCTATGGAAGGTGAACTTCGTTCACATCATGAATCTACATGACTTTTATCTGTGAGCACTATCTAGCTTATTTGTACTCTATTTTATCCCAAATTTTGTTATGTTATAGCTGAGACTATGGGCTATAAAAATTGTGATTTTTAGTTCTTTGATCAGATGATAAAATCATGTCGACATCTTCAATTGAATGAAACCCATTTACTTTTTAGACTTTACTGTCAGACACTATTGAGTGACTGACTGACCTCTTTGTTTCTCGGGTAATAAAATACATAAAATGAGCTTCATAGGGAACATGAGAATTTGTCCATATCAATAGCTCACTTCTTGTAATGGCCCAAAATAAACTATGCGCAGCACAATAGGTAGGACATGACGGGTAGAGCATTTCATTGAATAAGATGAAATTGTGAAAATGCATTCTTCATTATGTCAATTAGGGTCAAAGGTGTAACTAGTTAGTTAATGTACAGGGGCAATGGCCATATTGTCTTAATCTATCTTCCATAGATCCATAATGATCAATATGCTACACAGTTGAAACTTGACATGTGGATATACCATAATGGGAGGAGCATTTTGAAAGATAATATGAAATCGTGAAATTGCGTTCTTTGTTACGTAAAACATTAGCATACGTATCACCTAATTGGTCTAAGTGACGATTTTAAAGTCTAGTTATTCATTATAATTCGAACTCTATAACGCTTGATTAAATTGCTTCCTTATATATTCATGTGTCAAATGCCTAAAATTACTTTGAAGGTTTGCCCCCTGTCATCATAATAAGTCTGGGTGGAGGAGATGAAGACAAGTTTGTTTTACTCGAATGCCATAATTCCTAGCTACGCCAACTGTTGCTGCGCAACCATACATGAGATCTCTAATTCACCGCCTTGGCATAACAAGTAAAAAAGAAAAGCCTTAGATTGTACTTTGGGCCTAACAGCAAATTAAAAGAAGACAAGGGCACTGAGTGTTTAAGAGAGGTCATACATCTTGTGATGATACTAAAATGCAGTGCAAAAAGAATAAGGGATTTCCTACATGATTTATTAATCAAATGCGAGCTCCAAATCAAGCTTTGTTAAAGATATAGTCCCATGCAACTGATGTGTGAGGCAGGAGCGCTTGAAGTCCCTGTTTATTAATTAACTCGATTCGCTTGCTCATCAGCTATTTATATGTATGTCCAGGAAATGGGTAAGAAATATGTATAAGTAGGAGGTAATAAAAGGGGGATTATGAAACTGAATATTTGTAACAGTTCTCCACCCCCTCCCATCCCACTGAAAATATTTCCATTAATATTGTTATTTATTTCATGTAGGCATTGCCTACATTTAAAACACAGCTTGTTTGGTATAAAGAAGCCGCTGTTTTTTGTCTGTTTATGTGTGTGCAGACATCTATGTTTGCACGTTCCATTTTCCCCAACTTTATTTATGATTGGGCCTTGGCCTTGGTCTTGTAGTTTAAGCCTTGGCCTTGCTGGTCAACATGGTCAATGTCTCAGTCACAAGGTTAGGGACTTCACTGTAACACTCATATGTGTAATGTTTAAACGAGGAATTTTGGAAGCATTTAAAAGAGGTTGATTGAAAGTATGGCTTTTAAAAAACATACCTCCTGAATAACAAATGGCGCCGGCATCGCGTCCATGACCACAGTGATTTCCAATCCCTAGGTGAGCACAGTCTGCAAGGTTATCTTCTGTTCCTTCACACCCGACATAAATTAGCAGAATACTACCAGAGCCCTGACCAAACCTAGCAGATCCCGGTGCGTCCAAGGCTCCATCAAACCCCAGCATTCTGCAGACCACCCTCGCGTCTCTCAGATCCCAGCCAACATCACATATAGTTCCCCAGGATCCTTCATGCAGTAGCTCTACTCTGCCTTCAGCATCATTAGATCCACCAACAAGATGAACTTGAAATGGATTCGGATGCGCTAAAAATGAGTTTTAAAAGGAGAAATTAGTTATTACTAGTGTAAGGATAATACACACAGGCAGGCCTGATAAAAACCCGATTTAAATCGGTTTCCCGATTTTTTTTTTCCCCGATTTTTTTTTTCTTCCCTCTTTTATCCTGATTTTACCGATTTCCCAGTTATTTTCTCTAATCTTCCCTATTTTGCCCTATTTTTTCCAAATTTTCTTACTCGAAAGGGGGGAACGTTTTTAGATGCTTTTTTTCCCCCGCGAATCCTCTTCTCTTGTTTTTACTCAAAGGGGGCGTGGTTGAGGGGAAAACAAAAAGTCTATTTTTTTGTTATGCTCACTATCACCCCTATAAGCCACTTTGGGGGGAAATGATTACATCGCGAAAACGCATGGTTTCAAGAAAATTTATTACGTTTTGATATCATTTATAAAAAAATGAGAACACAATTTAAAAAAGAATTAAATACGAGCATCTCTTTTGAAATTTACAGAACCATGTCAAATCAAAGCTATGCCTATATATATCCGTCTTGAAGTGCATTGGCTTTAACCCTAATAACCCTAATAAGGCCGGGGCCCATAATTGAGATTGGAATATACCTTTTTGGTGGACAGTTGCTAATAAAAATCAAAATCGAAATTTTTGATTTACCAATAGAAGTCATTTGCCAACTCCTACTGGTGTCGATTAACACCAATATCTGGAGTCATAACAAATCATGCCCCCCCCCCCTCCACAATTTTCTGATTGATCGGGAACGCACGTGGATGGCGCCTCGCCACTCGCTGACCTTTTTCTCGCTTTTTTTTTTTTCTTTTTTCTCGCTGATGTGTATGACCGTATTTGCACAAATTACAATAAATATGGAAATGAGTGAATTTAAGAAAAATGAAATTATCATAGTATTCTATACACTTCACTTGACATGCGCGCAAATTTTAGCGGAGATCGGCCGTTTCACGGGCCATATTCCCCCCCCCCCCGGCCGTACTAAGTCCTCAAATCGCCCGGCCTTTTTTAGGGTTAAGGCGCCTTCAGACCTATTTTTTCTCATTGCCTAATTGGCCTTGGATTTGCGGATTAAAATCATTCCTTTTTTTAGCAATGCCAACTAAGGCAATTTCAATTCATTATTAAACTTAGTATTTTCTCAAGTAAATTTTAAAAAGTAGTTTGATTGCTTGTCTGATAACAGTTTGTTATATCATTTTGACATATAGGTGAACATAATATATCAAGAAAATGCCGCCCTGCTACAAATCCTAAGAGAACAGCAGATGCAAATGTCCATTCTGTGACAGAAGAAGTTACGTAACTAGGTCTACATCTATGTTTCTTTGCTTTGTTCATTGTTGATCCCCCACATTCCTAAGTACAAGTCAAATCTGGCTTTTATGAGTGATATTTAATGTCACCTCTGACAAAAAGCATCCCTCTCAACGATATCACATATGCCCTCCTGCATGGAACTAAAATTGACCCGGGCGGCACTCGAAGGGGACATTAAAAACAAAGTAAAATAAAGAGCGCGATAAAAATGTGCGCCCCCAATACGCCGGTTAAAAAGCATTAAGAATTAGGTTTTGAGATAATGAAAGCATCAGTTTTTTCAAGCTCGTTCGCAGTGTGGTACTCTTGCTTAACATAACTTCAGGATATCGTCATTCTTACCCTGGTATTTAAAGGCCCACTGCATTACTTGTAGCTATTTGCGCCCTCTCTATATTAAACAATGCCTAATCGGTGACCATTGGTTCCCTAATGATCCTCTTTATTATGTTAACTGAGAGCTGAGTTGATGAGATAACAACCTGTCATGTGACCTTGCAGATGGTCTAATCTTTCGTGTAAACTAGTACTGATCAGATTTAATGTAACTTTTAAACAGCTCTTTAAAGGGTGCAGATTAAAAAAAGAATACAAATAGAGAATATCATCGTCATTCCTACGCTCCTTAAAGGCAAAGACCAGTTATGGTCATGCGATTGCATTGTGAAAGAAACGTTGTAGAATCGATCAGAAAAGGTTGATCATCTAGCATCTAGCATCTGCAAGGTTCTGGAATCATCAAAATGATAAGAAATTTGGCCCATTCTTTGTAAAGTTACAAGCACTATACACAGAAAGATGTATATGGGACTACCCTATATCTCTCACAGATCATGAGAGAAACAAATTTACCAAATATATGAATTATTAGGCGGTTTCCCGGCAAATTTGTTATCATGATGTAATAGTCAAAACAAATTCTTTCACATGATTGGTAATGAGAGCTTCCATTTCATTTTTTGCAATTGGGGCGTTTCCAATACTGGTCTTTACCTTTAAAATAAGCTTTTAAGTTGCACCGGCCTGATGTTTATATTGCGCTCCCCCCAAAAAGATAATTACATATCGTTTAAAATCTCACTTCCAAATTTTTCAACATTTGAAGGAAATCTTAACTTTGGAATGCTTTTTTTGTTTCCTTGACAAGATTTATCCTGGGATTCGAAAATATCATATTTCAATTATTATAATTCTACCTCTATACCGTTAGATTAAATTGCTCCCTTACGGATATTCCTGGGTAAAATGCGTTAAATAACTTAAGAGGTTTTCCCCCTGTCAAATACAAATAGTTTGAGTGGAGGGGGTGGAGACGATTTGTTTTACAGAAATGCCATAGTCCCTAGCTACGCTACTGGTTGCTGTGCTACCTTGCATGAGACCAATGATTCACTATCTTGGCATACCAAGTAAGAAGCCTTAAACCGAGTAACAGCAAACTAAAAGAAGAAACGATCATTGAAAGCTTAAGAGCAGTGATACATCTCCCGATGATACCGAGGTGTCTTGTTTTTTTTAAAAATATTATGTTATATAATTCTTTATCTTTTTATTTAGTGTAAAAAACCAAAGCTTTGTATTTAATCACAGAACATATTTTAGCCTAGATGTGCCTCCCGCGTCACACGTGACGCCAAATATGATAATAATAGTCAATGCCTTTGTCTTTAAGGTTTGGGCCTTGACTACAACACTCATATTTAAAATATTTAAGGAAATAATTCTCATTTTTTTACATCTCGTTAGAAAAGGTAATGATATACCAAAGGGTGGATTCAGCCGGCGGCAAGAGGGAGGGGAGCAAACCGTGAGGAAATATCTAGCGCCGACTTAGCCAGCCGGTGAATAAGCGGTGGGGGGGGGGGGGGGGGTGTAGGAGGCACTTTTTTTTTTTGTCCAACTTTTGAGGAAATATTTAGCGCCGTTGAATAAGCAGGAGGGGGTGGGAGAGGATGGGGGGTGGTAAGAACACTATTTCTTTTGTTGACAAATTCGTGATTTTTTTTCTTTAAGGCCGCTCCCCACAGCCTCTACCCACCCCCCTCCCCCTCCCCCTCCCCTCTCCCCCCTCCCCCCCCCCCCCCCCCCCCTCCGTGGATCCGCGCCTGGATATACCCCGCATGGACAATTTCCTGTACATGGATCGGTTAAGAGAACTAAATGTAATCAGACATACTTCTAAAAGATCAACCCCATAACTATGTTTTCAAATTTTAGCTCATGACGTCAGACGAGGAAAAGCTTACACAATCCTCATTTTGTTTGCGGAGGTCAGCTTTTGTGCGCACAACCGATTGATCAGTCATTCCCATCTCCTCGGACTGACCAAGGGAAATACAAATGTACCTGTGTTTAAATCCAAGCGAATGATAAAGAATAATTTGTTGACATTGATGAATTAAAATATCCAGGAACTTACCTCCCGAATAACAAACAGCGCCCGCATCCCTTGTATGACTACAGCGGTAATATTCAATCTCTGTATGAGCGCAGTCTGCAAGGTTGCCTTCTGTTCCCTCACAACTGACATAAGCTAGAAAAACACGACCAGAGCCCTGACCAAACCTAGCAGATCTTGGTGCGTCCAAGACTCCATCAAACCCCAGCATTCTGCAAACCACCCTCGCGTCTCTCAGATCCCAGCTGTCATCACAGATAGTTCCCCAGGATCCATTATGCATGACCTCTACTCTGCCTTCAGCATCGTTAGACCCACCAATCAGACGAACTTGAAATGGCTGAGGATGGGCTGAGGAGAAGAGTATTTTTTCTTCTAAGTAATGAAATAATTCTGATCATTGCCATAGCCACTACTGAAAAGTAATTAGTTGATAAATTGCCAACAATTCGATGTTTTCTCTATGTACCGATCGGGTGAAACAAGCTTAACACATAGTTGTCATTCTTGTCTTTCATTTCATTGGAAAGAAATCCCAAATATATCCGGAGGAAAAAACTAACCAGCATCTTCAACGTAATTTCGCTGGTGATCTGGTCGAAATTAAAATGTCGTATATCAGCAGTAAGAGTTTTTCTATTCCACTGTCGAAGAAGAAAATGAAAAGCAGTCGACTTTACTATTTGAAATGAGAAGCATTAATATCAAGAAAATAGGTTTTGACATAGAATCAAGAGATATGATTTCGCTGCGTTCAATTGCGACGAAACAGTACAGATAAAGGAAATTATGATATTGGTACAAGCAAAAGTAATCTATTAATGAGTCAAATGAAATTAATTGTGACGAAAATTGATTTCTGTAATACGATATATACCTTAGAAACTCTTATATACTATAATACTTAAATACATATATAGATTAAAGCAACTACAGTAGTTCCTCCTATATTGACTTCCCGGTAAAAAGTATTTGTTGGACAAATATGAAAGATCATATATAGCTACAGAGAAAATGCCCTTTTTATATCAAATGTTTTCTGTACACAATAGCTTAAAACGGAGAGGTAACTTTCTTCCTGACTAACAAATAGTGCCCGCATCTTCATCAAGTCTACAGTCGTGAACTCGAATCCCTGAATGATAAGACCAAGTTTGGGACAAATTCGTGATTTTTTTTCTTTATGGCCGACCCCCCCCCCCCCCCCCCGTTGATCCGCGCCTGGATATACCCCTCATGGACAATTTCCTGTACATGGATTGGTAAACTTAGAAGAGCAACCCAATAACTATGTTTTTAAATTCTAGCTGTGACGTCATACGAGGAAAAGCTTACACAATCCTCATTTTGTTTGCGGAGGTCAGCTTTTGTGCGCACAACCGATTGATCAGTCATTCCCATCTCCTCGGACTGACCAAGGCAAATGTACCTGTGTTTAAATTCAAGCGAATGATAAAGAATAATTTGTTGACATTGATGAATTAAAATATCCAGGAACTTACCTCCCGAATAACAAACAGCGCCCGCATCCCTTGTATGACTGCAGCGGTAATATTCAATCTCTGTATGAGCGCAGTCTGCAAGGTTGCCTTCTGTTCCCTCACACCTGACATAAGCTAGAAAAACACGACCAGAGCCCTGACCAAACCTAGCAGATCTTTGTGCGTCCAAGACTCCATCAAACCCCAGCATTCTGCAAACCACCCTCGCGTCTCTCAGATCCCAGCTGTTATCACAGATAGTTCCCCACGAACCGTCGTGCAGTACCTCAACTCTGCCTTCAGCATCGTTAGACCCACCGACAAGACGAACTTTAAATGGGTTCGGATGGGCTAAGGAAAAAAAGGTCTTTTATACATTTTTTTCTTCACATTTTGCGAGAAAAATGATTAATGTGGAAACTGCAAACAATTCGTTGTTTTCTCTTTATTACTGTCAGTGAATGATAATTTATTTTTTAGTGCCACCGATCAGACGTACCTCGAATGGATTCGGGTGGGCTAAATAAACAAATGACAAAGTGTATTAACTAAAGCGAACTTATGCATATATTATGTGTAGGGTTCGTAAAAGCAATATGACTGCATGCTGGTCAATATTAAAGAAATGCCTAAAAAGTTGTCAAAGTAAAACACATTCATAATATGTTATAAAACCTTTTTTATCACTGTTTCAAAGATTTTAGTAATTGATTTTGTGGAAATGATAGGAAAAGTAAATGTATGACCTTATAAGCTCAAACTTATTTGCGATTTGAACAGAATGCCATTTATAATTACGAATATTCGTTTCCTCATGTTTAAAAGAGTTCGCACCTCCTGAGTAACACACGGCGCCTGCATCCCAGTGATGCTCACAGTAAGAGTAAATCCACACACGGGAACAGCCTTGCAGCCGGTCTTCTGTTCCCCGGCAGTTGACACGAAGAATATCACCAGAACCCTGACCAAACCTAGCCGATCGTGGCGCAGTCAGGGCACCGTCGAACCCCAGCATTCTACATATTACCCTTGCGTTTAACAGATTCCAGTTACCACCACAAACGGTCGTCCACGATCCACCGTACAAGACCTCCACTCTTCCTTCAGCATTGTTGGAGCAATTTATAAGACGTATATCTGATAGAAGACTGTCCGTGAGTTTCCGCAAAATTGCATTTATTTTTTTATCATCCAAAGTGGTTCATTGTGACGCAGAACGAAAATAAGAATTACCTTTTTTTCTGAAACGTATCGATTGCCCCTCGCTTTATTTGAAAATATGATAACTACAAATCAGGTTATTTTGATCGTGAAACTGTGATAACTAACAGGCGTATTGCTCGACCTTTGTTTTTGGAGGGGGGCAGCGGTTAAACTAGTTTCCAGACTGCTGACATTTGTCCAACAAGCAAGGAGTTTCTTTGTGAGACTGTTTTTCTTTTATATGTGAATGAATTCTTCGTGGGAAAAGCAGAAACTTTAAGATATAGGTTGGTAGAGTTTGAGAAAAGTCGGACCAAGTTCAGGTCATTCATAATATTGTGTGTGGTAACATGGAGCCTTTCTACAAGATATGCCAAGATACGCCAATTATACCCAGAACGACTGGTTGAGAGTGACTAGACACTAGACCTTTCATCACTTGCGGGATCTGAGTCACAATTTATTGGTAAGAATTGAATTCCACTGTTTGATAGATTATTGTATTAATGTATACAGTAAACAGAACCCAATTCAGAACCCAATACAAAAGTCAGACCTGACTTTCGTAACTAAACACAATTTAGCCAATCGTTCGAAATAGGCAAAAAACAACTCAATGAAATTTCAAGGAATTATTCACGGATGGAAATGTGTATATTCATTCTCTAGCGAGTACGGAAAAGTCCGAAAGTTGACATCTCTTGCATGCTTGTCTTATCTCCTCAGGCTAGTCGGTCGTTCCTCCTCTTTACACGTGAAGATAAGTCGAAAGATTATGCCTCATGGAGAACTATCCATCAAAATGCCTTTTTCTTTTTTTCATAGGGGAAGAGCCATTTTTCTTGGCGAGGTCGCTGTTCAGGTCCTACATTCGTAGAAACCTTACAACGCCTAGTTGGCAACTACAACTATGTAGTCATGGTGCTCTAGCTTAGGTAATTAATTAACAACTAGGCTAGTAAGGTGTTTGCATATGGGCCACGGTTTCCATGCCGACCAAGGCGATAATATGATGCTCGATGCATGGGCATACATAAAATCAAACAGATTGTCTTCTACCGTATCATTAAAACCACTTATTTTAATATAATGCAATGAGTTCTATGTCAGTGGCTCTTTTCTTTCACCCGAAAACTGCGCTGCCTTCGTATTTTTTAAATAGCCTCGTTGTCTCGTCTTTTTTCATGAGGTAATTACTGTTGTATATGGTTCAATGTAGAAATGTAACGTAGATACTTTGTACTTCAAATGAATACAGCTTGTGAATCATATGAATTATTTATTTTAACCATTAATAAGTATAAAACCACAGGTAATATCCCTCCCATGCTCAACCGTTCTAGGTAGTTAACTTTTTTATGCCGCCTCTTGAAACTTGTTCTTGTGAGAAACGGCTTTGAAAAGATATGACTGAGAGTGTCTAATCTACGAGTTGGTTTAGATCAGTGGTTTGAAGATAAGTTTAATCATTGGACATGTCCATTGAATTAAAAAATTATTTAGAAAAACAGTTGCGTGTGGATGATAATAGAACAGGCATTAATCGTCATTGAACTGAGATCGTATGGAACTAAAGAGGATTTTAATTTACTTGCTGAACTAATGACCGCCATTAATAATTAAATTTGACATCACTTTCAGTTTTCCATCGTACTGAAGCGGAAGAATCCTTTTCGACTGTGGTGATTAGTTACCACTAAAATACGGCTCTTATTCGATAATCAATTATTTCAGCACACTTGTGTACATCCTTATAAATGACGGATAAGTGCATTAGCAACAACTGAACCCCTTCTCATAAGTGTCTAATTTTATCGTTTATCTTATGTATTTTTTTTTATACCCGCAGTTGTCATGTTCATATATTTATGGTACTAATCCCGTGTTACATTTTTTTGGTTTCACGGCAGCCTCCAGTCTTTTATTTAAACTCTTAGAAACTTCAGGAGTTTTTTGAGGTGCAGTTTTATTTATTTGCACACTGGTTAGTGTTTTCGCTCGAGTCTGTGTCGGAGTTGTCCTCTCACGGTAGAAGATATCCATCAATGTCCACATCTTTCCCCGCTGAGGGCGTTTGGTAGACAGTTTTCATGTAGATGTACTCATGATTATTCGATTTATCGCCACGAAATTGATCAGCCGTCGCTGCCACTTCATCATCCGATAATGCGTCCCTGGTCGGAAGAATATATCCATCGAGATCAAAGTCTTTTTCATTGTCAGGTGTTTCATAAACGGTATTCATGTCCATGTATTTATGTGGTTCTCTTTGTTTTATGTATTGCGAGAGATTCAGATCTGCTTTTCCGTCATCATCAGTTGCTATATTTGATTCATAATCATGATGAAGCATACCGGATTTTCGTCTATCCGGTAACCGAGGTGGGGCGTTCAGGTCTTGGTAAACTGAGTTAAGCGAAATAGCTTGCAGTGAGCCAATACTCGTTACATCCATATAAATATCGGCGTTTACATTTTTCGCAGCCCTTCTTTTTCTTATTCTATGAAGACAGTACCAGCAGGACAATATCAGAATGATGGTAAACAATAACACGCAAAACCCAAGTAGAAATATCTTTGGAAGACCTGACAATAGACTAGGTCTTGTATTCAAGTTCAGATCTTCAATATTAGTCGGGATTTTCTGATTGCGGGAAATGTTCCGCGTACTTGACGATACTACTGTAATGTCGTCAGCAGCTGTCATCAGATCGTCAGTAATAGGTGTAACATCAGGCGCGACTAAATGGGAATAGGCAGCCATATCTATGACAAAAGTGGAACATCAGATAAATATCATAAATAAACAATTCACATTAAGACATTTCATATTTTTGAAATAGATACGGAAAAAAGGATAAAAACATGGCTATGATAATTATTATTATAAAGATTTGAAAGCGAAGGTGTGAATAAAGTTTTGAATGAAGTTAAGAGAAAGTTAGTAAATTTTTGAAGTAATTAAATCCTTTATTTCTCGTCTTTGCGCCGATTCCAGCTTGAATCCTAACTTCTAAATAATGGTGCATACGATTCCGTTGCCCTGTATACGAATATTTATCTTTATAATGAATTTCATAAATAATTTATTACCTTTTTCCTTGTAAGCAATTCATTCATAATTGGATTCAAAACGTGTCAATATTAGTTTATAGGTCACTTTGAAAGGTTGAATGAAAAATGATGACTGGATGCAATGTGCGTAAAAGTTGAGTATACACCAGTTTACAGTTGTGTGCGCCATTTTAATTGGCGAGTAAACAAAGCCAATGACCTAGAGTTCATGTATTTATGCGTAAATTAAGATTGCGCCCATGCAAATCATGATGATATCACTGCCTGCGCGCTGCGTTGTGCGCGCATATCATCATTTGCATGGACGCAATCTTAATTTACGCATAAATACCACTGACCTCGGGTCATTTGCTTTTTTTCAGGGCCAGTGACCCGAGGTCAACTGTCTGCGCATGTGCACTGATACAACTATAAACTGGTGTATTGTACCTCTTAAGAGACACGTGACCCCAGCGTCTTCGTTATGTTGGCAGTTGTGCACTCCGAACCCTAGATGTGCGCAGTCCGCAAGATTGTCTTCCGTTCCATCGCACCCGACATGAGACAGGAGAATATCATCGGACCCCTCGCCAAACTCGGCTGAACCTGGTGCAGTCGAGGCGTTGCCGAATCCTAGCATTCTGCATACGACCTTTGCATCTTGCAAATCCCAGCTATCGTCGCAAACTGTTCCCCAGGTGCTGTTGTATCTGATCTCAACTCTGCCTTCAGAACCGTTGGATCCACCCATGAGCCGTACTCCAACAGAGTTTGGATGGGCTAAAAGAAAATGGAATTTATTTATTTTTAGTATAGCTACAAATATATTATCATTCCCTATCCTATCTAGTTTAGTTGTTCATATGATCATTTGGTTATGCATTTCAAATTAAGACATTTTTTATTGGAGTTGAAGAGTTTTGTAATAATCGTATCATCTAAGTTATATCTGTTTAACCTCCTATCGGAGACTTTCCTACTATAGCCTTTGCCATAGTGAAAGTGCCCACCATGCCAATCACACTGTAAAACACATATTACTATCACACCAATAATGCCCTTTCTTCATTGTCACCCCTCGTTCATTGTACCTTTGTACCTTGTATGAACAGCGTCTATCCGATGCGAATGTCAGTGAAACGCCTATATTTGGCATTGGGGGGGGGGGGGGCCTTTAAACAGCCGAACAATAGTCTTTCCAGGGTGATTATGAATCTAGTCTTGCGCCTGACTATATCATAAAAAGGTGTGCACACAATATCATTTTGCTGAAAGTATTGACACATACCTCCCGAGTAATAGATGGCACCAACATCCTCTGCATGTCCACAGTAATTGACCCCTAACCCAAGATGTGCACAGTCCACAAGATTTCCCTCAGTACCGTCACAACCAACAAGATTGAGAAGTATATCCCCAGATCCCTGACCGAACCTTGCAGATCCCGGTGCGTCCAAAGCTCCCTCAAACCCCAGCATTCTGCAGACGACCCTCGCGTCTCTAAGATCCCAGCCATTATCACAGATAGTTCCCCAGGATCCGTCGTGGAAGACCTCCACTCTTCCTTCAGCTTTGCTGGATCCATCGACGAGCCTTATTTCGAGAGGATTTGGATGGGCTGAGGCAAATGAAGTCAGTAATTGATAATGCAATCAAAACCAATGAAACGTGAAATGGCACACAAAATGAAATAGATGGCACCAGGCAGTTATGTATATGTTATTTGTGAATTTATTGCAGTAGAAAAGTTTGGATGGTTTCAATATGATTCTTCAGCTAAAGTATTGGTCTCTTCATTGGTTAAGCCGGGAGCAAAATGCTGGAATCAATAGACTTATTGTTAACATGTTATTTCTTGAATTTATCATCATCTCAAGATCATTCACGACTGATATTAATTGATAATAAGTAAACTCTTAATATAATGACATATCAGGATTGCATGTGACGGTAAAACATACCCCCATTGTAACAAATAGCGCCCGCATCTTCATCATGTCCACAGTAATGTACTCCAATCCCTCGATGAATACATTCTGCTAAGTTTACTTCTGTTCTGTCACATCCGACGACATCTAGAATGATACGACCTGTGACGTTAAATTCTGCTGAAGTGACCCCAACAGTAGGCTTAAAGAAAGGACGACGACATCCAAGTTGAGATACGTGCATAAAATGCAGTTCATCTGTAATATCAATAAAACAAACAAGCAATCATAAGCATGTGTACAAATTCACATGAATAAACAAACATCTATTGTATCGCACAACTAGCTTGCCATAAATGACCTTAATATGCATAACTGAGTAAAGAAAACCTTCAAGAATAAACTATGTGAGTAAAGCTCACTTGTGCAAACACAAACTGTATAACTGCCTCATTTATCTTATTCTAATGAACTGTCTCAAATTCTACCTTTGTTTACAAATATAACCCTTACAAATCATACCTCTCTATCTTGTAGGTTAACGTCATACACAAATAAACCCTCGACCAGCCTTATTTCCTGCCTCTATCTTACACTCTTTACTTGGTTCCTGAACTAAATTCCTATTTGCTTCTACACCCTTGACATTCTTTATAACCAAGGAAAACAATTCATACTCTTGTTTCATGTCAATTATCATCACTCATTACACACAAATCTAGATTATCCTCAACACAAACTGATATATGCACAAATTGTGCATTCACACACGTTATCCTACGTTTGTCTATATGTGGTGCTACATGCACAGACAACATTTTAACGTACTTTTCATCTTAAAATTACAGAAAACTAGATTTATATCTTGTGCCATTTTTGGCCTCATACAAACAATTAAAGATTGATTTATACAAATAACAGCTTTATAGTACTTACAACATTGGGCTTGTCTCGATTGTCGGGGATTACTGATGGAATCACTGTCCACAAAACATTTCAAATTTCGTGACTTTTAGGCTGGCGAACTACAAACGCCCTCTTACGACCAAATGAAATTATGGTTAATCTGAACCGACGTCATGACAGAAAACTTTCTAAATCTTACATCCCGGCCCCTTAAATGCGTAGCCACAGCAAAGCATTTATCCAAATAACTTCAACTTCCATTCAAATTGTCTAACTTTTCTGTTAATAAAACACAACTAAACATTCAGAATTTACACTCAACTCTGCATAGCACATTCCATTAATTTCATTTACACAATGTAGTACATTACAGTAAATGCCTTTAGGGTGAATTTATAGCCTATACACAACAAACACTTGTCGTCTAAAAATGTATACCGACAGGTCAATTAAAGTAACATTGGGCAAAACGATCAGTTGCCTTAATAGAGTACACATTAACTAAATCTCAACACAATTGTTGACACTCTGTAGCAAATAACAATAACAAGGATTGTTAAAGTCCTTGACATTCCTTACACACTTTGAGTTATCTAGTGAATTACCAAAGGAAAATACGAAATATATCAGCTCAAACATAATGATTCTACATGTACCTCTATGCACTAGAGCTGCTAACTACTCAGAACTGTGTATTTCAGTACTCGATTCTTGAAACTAAACCCCCTTTTTTGTGAGTTTTCAAGCAAAATTCAGTAGCCCACCACTAAGTACAACAGGGTTACACACAAAAAATGATTTTCAAATTCAGAAAATGGTGCTTCTGTGATTAAACTTTCTCATCATTCGCAATCTTGAGTAAATTGTCAATTTACTTCCGGTATACAAAACTTTAGTTCAACTATCCCCTTCATATCAAATATCCTCTTTTGGGTCTATGCATCAAATATCAACACAATTCGGTTCTTTAAAGTTTCAACTTGAACTAGACACTACATATTTGTATGCTCATGCATTGACCAAATAACATGTTATCATGACAAATGATTCTCATTTGTAGTGGTCAAATATTTAACTCCTGCTCTTAGGAAAAAACATGTAAGAAATTACGTATGAATATCGTTCGAACAAAAAAAATCTTTCAGCAATAGTCTCAGTTCAATACTGAAATGAATACATGTATTCTGAAGTCCATTATAGTCTTTCTTCAAGTATTGACTAATAAACATAATATGACATAGTCTATAACAAGGCTGAAATGTTTATTACTCTTCAAGAGTAGAGTTCACTGTCCTCAAATATAACGTGCCCGATTTACCTCAAGGGCACAATGTTACCGCAAATAGTCTTGTATAAAGTCTGAGGACTGTTTTTATCAATTTCTTGCGCTTAAACAAGTTTGTTGCTGTAAACGAGTTCTGTCTTGCGTCGACGTCAGTCTAACTTGAATATGATGATCAGGATCTTTCGCTTGTCACGGATCAGGATAATCGCGACATAAAAAATTCACAAGAGGCGGCGCTAGGCTCTCACCTCGCACGTTTAATTCATCGTGCATCAAATATAATTATCTCACATAAGAAACTAATGCTCCAATTTAGTCGTTCTTCGCTGTGGATCCATTTAAATTGAGATCGCTCTCCACGGTTCACCAATTTACGCTCTTTGCTTCTTCCAAAACTGAAACATGATGATCAGGATCTTACGCTCGTCACGGATCAGGAAAATTGCGACACAAAAATTCACAAGAGGCGGCGCTAGGCTCTCACCTCGCACGTTTAATTCACCGTGCATCAATATAATTATCTCACATAAGAAATGAATGCTCCAATTAGTCGCTGTGGTTCACCAATACGCTATCTGCTTCTTCCAAAAGACATAGTTTCTGCACAGGCCTGACTAGGATACCGGTGCTATGTTTCAGCTTCACCGATCGGACGAGCTTGTCCTTCCCAGGATAGGTTTCGATTACTCTTCCCGTCAACCACTTGTTCCTCGGCAGATTGTCGATAATCAGCACGATGTCACCTTCCTCCAGATTTCTCGTCTCTTTCAGCCACTTCTGCCGCTGTTGTAAGGAAGGTAGGTATTCCTTCACCCACCTGCGCCAAAATAAGTCTGCCAGGTATTGAATCTGCCGCCAGCGTCGACGTCCATACAGATCATGTTTCTGGAACACATCAGGTGGTAGAGCATTTTTTGACCTCAGGAGCAGCAGATGATTTGGTGTGAGAGGCTCTGCATCCCTTGCGTCATCAGATGTTATGGTGAGTGGACGCCCATTGATAATTGCCTCTACTAGACACATAAGAGTCGTTAAGCCCTCATCATTCAGAACCTGCTGCTTCATGACTGCATTCAAGACCTTTCTCGTAGTTCTGATTTGTCTTTCCCATGATCCACCCATATGGGATGCTCTCGGTGGATTGAATTTCCAATCAATTCCTTGTTGAAGGAGATTATCGTGGATCTTCTCCTGGTTCCATCGTTTCAATCCCTCCCTCAGTTCACGTTCAGCACCTATGAAATTTGTACCATTGTCGGATCTGATAATCTCTGGTTGTCCTCTGCGTGAAATAAATCTGTGAAGGGCATTCAGAAATGAATCCGTCTCCAATGAATGCAGTACCTCTATGTGTATTGCTCTTATAACCAGACAAGTGAATATACATCCATATCTCTTCACAGAGCTCCTTCCTTGTCTCACCATGTATGGGCCAAAGCAGTCAACTCCCACGTTACTGAATGGAGGTTTTTCTGGTACCACTCTATCTGCCGGCAAATCTGCCATCTTCTGTTCCACTGGTTTTGCACGTTGACGTTTACATGTGAAACACTTGTGTAGTACATGACGAACTGCTAACCTCCCTCTGATTATCCAAAATCGTTGTCTGAGTAGGGATAGCACATACTCCTTCCCTGAGTGACCACACATAATGTGGTAATGTCTCACCAAAAGCTGTACTACATGATGCTTGGAAGGCAAAATCACTGGGTGTTTTGTCTGCTCTTCTAGTGGTGCATTGTGTAGTCTTCCTCCAACACATATCAATCCTTCGTCTGTGAGTTTCACGCTCAATTTAGATAGTGGGCTGGATTTTGCTATTCGAGTGGGTGACCGTTGTGTAGTCTTATTTTGCTGTAAGACTCTGTACTCCTCAGCATAGGTCTGTTGCTGAACGTATCTGACAATTGCTTCTTCAGCTACAGTCATCTCATCAACTGTTACTGGCTGCTTCATATCCAGTAAATTCATATCTTTGCGTGCCTTTCTTCTCAAGCACTCCTTGACCTTCAGGATCCATGCAATACCTTTCTTCAGCCGGAACCAGGACGAGTAACTTTCAAGGAGTCTATCTGTCGCCTTGACTTCAGATTCGGCTGCAGCAAACACTCCGGTCTTGTCTTGCTTTACCTCTGGGTCATGCTCTAAGCTAGACTCATTCACTGTCAAGCTTTTAGGCCAATCGCATTCTTCTGACCACAAAAATTTTGGCCCTTCTTTCCATCGTCCAGTCAATTCCTCAGCTGTCAGTCCACGCGAGGCATCATCGGCTGGATTGACATCAGTGTTAACATGTCGCCACTGCCTTGGTTCAGATCCCTCATGAATGGTTGTAATTCTGTTTGCTACAAACGTATGGAAACGTTTATCCTCATTCTTCACATAATGAAGTACTATTGAACTGTCAGTCCAAAACACTGACTCTTGGAGCGGCAGATCCAGTTCCCGTTGTATCATACTGTCTATAGTGACAGAGAGTGTAGCCGCCATCAGTTCAAGCCGTGGGATTGTCATCCTCTTCAGGGGTGCAAGACGTGACCTTGCAAATAGTATGCTGCAGTGCACCTGACCCTCAACATCCTTCATCCGCAGGTAGGAAACGACTCCATAGGCTTTCTCTGAAGCATCTGCAAAGTGATGTAGCTTATACTCTGCTACCTTGCCAAAGTCATGTGGTTTGATGCATCTGTTGACCTGGAATTCAGTCATCTTGGGTAGTTCCTGTAACCATTCATTCCATCTCTCTATTTCCTTGCTTGGAATCTCCTCATCCCATGCAAGTTTAAGTCTGGTTAGTTCCTGCAAGATCATCTTAGCCTTTAGGATGAAAGGACTGGCGTAACCGAGAGGGTCGTAGATGGAAGATACAACACTCAAGATACCCCTCCTGGTTTGGGGTTTGTCCTTGGGTCTAAGTTTGTACAGCAAACAATCAGTTTCTACATCCCAGCTGATTCCAAGTGCTCTCTCGACTGGAAGAGCATCATGATTGAGATCCAGACCCCTCACATCTTTAGCTCTCTCTTCTTCTGGTATGGATTGCAGGACAAATGGGTTGTTACTGACCCATTTGGTTAATCTGAAGCCTCCTTCACTGAGCAAGACCATCAAGTCCGCAGCAAGTTTCACCGCTGTTTCTTCATTCTCAACTGACACCAGGCAGTCGTCCACATAGAAGTTCTCGAGAATGGCCTTAGATGCTTCCACTTTACCATTACCATCACCGTTTCTTGCTGTCTGACGAAGTGCATGGCTGCACACACTTGGGCTCCACGTACCTCCGAAGAGGTGGACGCACATCCGGTAGACCAGCGGTTCCTTGTTGAAGTCTCCGTCCTTCCACCACAAGAATCTCAACACGTCTCGATCTTCTGGAGGTACCCTCACTTGGTGGAACATTGCCTCTATATCTGACATGAGTGCTACTGGTTGCTGGCGGAATCTAAGCAAAACTCCCATCAAATTGTTGATAAGGTCCGGCCCCTGTAACACTGCATCATTCAAAGATACCCCTTGGTGCTTGGCCGCACAATCGAACACGATTCGCATCTTGTCTGGTTTTTGGGGATTCAAGACTGGATGGTGGGGCAAATACCAAACAGGGGTGTCCTTGGGTTGCCTAGTCTCCTCACTAACTTCCTCTGCATAGCCTTTCCTGAGGAGATCCTCTATGCCCTGTTTGTATTTCACATACATTGCTTGATCTCTTTGCAATCTCCTTGCCAACGATTTCAAACGCTGTTCTGCACTCCACTTGTTATCAGGCAAGTTAGGTGGTCTCCTTCTGAAGGGCACCGGTAGTTGGAAATGTGCACCTTCCCGCTGGATGTCCCTCTCCCATATTTCCATTACCTTCTTGTCATTGACTGACATTGCCTTGTCTTTCTTAAGCACATCTGTAGCTTCGATCTTCCAGAATTGGCTGACTTGTTCCTCCAGTCTATCATTACTGTCAATGAAGCTAGATGTAGCTTTGGGTACACCATCTGAACTGGAACCTACAGGTCCACTCACTGACCAACCCAATTTGGTCCTAACAGCATAAGGGCCATGCTGTCCTCGTCTCACCTCGATAGGTATCAAGGCTTCAGGTGAATCCTGCCCTATCAACAGTCCAACTTCATGTCGTTCAATGATCGGGAGGTTGATTCCTTCTAAGTGATGATATCCTGAAATGTCATCCACATTGGCAATGTGTGTGTCTCTGATATTAATGGCGTCTCTGGTATACACACAGGGTAGCTTCACACAGTCTGTATCTGGTCCCGTGTCTGCAATCAGACTAATCACTGAGGTCTCTATGGGGCTATTACGCTTCTCCAGTGTTGTCAGGCTTAAACTTTGCTTCCTTCCAGTAGCATTGAGTTCTCTGGCCAAAGTGGCTGTACAAAATGTACTGGTTGAACCAGAATCCAACAGTGCATATGTATTCACAAAAACATTCTCTCCTTGAGCTCTAACCCTCACTGGAACAATGGGAAGCACACACCTTCCGGCCCCTGTGACACACTTCTTAACGAACCCATTCTGGACTTGATGGACTTCGTTGTTCTGGGTTTCAACTGGAGCCTGTGTCGTTGTCATCCTTCCTGCAGATGAAGATGCATCCTGTGCAAAATGGAGAAATTTTGTGTGTTTTCTCTGGCATCCTTGTACTGAGCATCTTCTATTCAATCTGCAAAACCTACTGGTGTGGCCAGATTGCAGGCAGTTGAAACACAGTCTGTTGTCCTGAGCAAACTGAAATCTCATCTCGGGTGCCATGGATTTAAAACTGTCGCACCCAAACAAGGAATGTTCTTGCCTACACTTCAGGCACTTCAGGTTGACTGCTACTTCTGTTACCTCTGTAGCGTACATGTAGTTACTTCTTGTACTCTTCTTGTTGAAAGCTGGGTTTGAAGTTTCAACTCTTTTTGTTGTTGCTGTCAGATCTCCAAAGACAGGATCATTGGCTTCCTCAGCAGCGTTGGAGACAAACCTTGCCATGTCCGAGATATCGGGAGAACGCTCCTGCTGTCTGATGTCTCTCACCAACTTTAACCATCTACCTTTAAGGTAATATGGAAGTCTCTCAGCCACCTTCAGCAACTCTCTCTGGCTACTAATTTCCTGCAGTAGATCCATTGCTCGAAGAGTTTCCATGCTGATCTTCAACTCATCTGCAAACTTCTGCAGCCCCTTCCGGTCATTCGCATGGCAGATTGGACCAGTGGTTATACGTTTGATCCAGGCTTCTCCTATCTTGTACTTGCTGCCAAAGCGTTCCACCAACAGCTCTCTGGCTCGTTGGTACCCATACAGTGGTTCCATGACCATACAGCACTGTATGATGCCCTTAACTTCTCCTTCACAGCAATGATATAACTTCATAAGTTTTGTCCCACTATCGAGTGAAGATCGACCAATTAAGTTGTCGAACGACATCATAAATTCATGGAAGTGCAAAGGACTCCCATCAAACTTCATCATCTCTACATTAGCCAGACTGATAGCTTCCAACCATCGTTGTTGCTGAACTTGGGTCTGCAGATAAAATTCTCGGTCGTCTCGTGGTTGATAAGCTTGACCTGAAATGGGAGATGAAGCCATTTGCTGAGCTGGAAAAGGAATAGTCTCTTGTAGGAGCGCAGGTTCCTTGACATCATGATTGCTGACATGATGATGATGTTCCGTAGCATGCTCTGCACTTTCATGCACCTGCTTGACATTCTGCTGACTGGAACTCCTATTCCCTATACTCGACACCTTACTGCCACTCCTGTGTTGCTCATACACGTCTTCTTCTGCCTCTGCTGCGCTGAGCTTGGCACGTAAGAGTAACTTAGCCTTCCTTTGCTTAAGGCGTATTTCTTCGAGTTCTATCTCTTGTTCTTCCTGGAGAACTGCTAATTCTGCTGCTATTGCAGCCCTCTTGGCCCTGGTCCTAAGTCCAGATGACGTGGTGGAACTCTTCCCAACCTGACTTGCAGAATCCTCTGGATTGACATCATCAACACCTACTTGACTCATGGTGACGAATGCTAAAGCTGTTATGAACTTTGTGTGACGTTAAATTCTGCTGAAGTGACCCCAACAGTAGGCTTAAAGAAAGGACGACGACATCCAAGTTGAGATACGTGCATAAAATGCAGTTCATCTGTAATATCAATAAAACAAACAAGCAATCATAAGCATGTGTACAAATTCACATGAATAAACAAACATCTATTGTATCGCACAACTAGCTTGCCATAAATGACCTTAATATGCATAACTGAGTAAAGAAAACCTTCAAGAATAAACTATGTGAGTAAAGCTCACTTGTGCAAACACAAACTGTATAACTGCCTCATTTATCTTATTCTAATGAACTGTCTCAAATTCTACCTTTGTTTACAAATATAACCCTTACAAATCATACCTCTCTATCTTGTAGGTTAACGTCATACACAAATAAACCCTCGACCAGCCTTATTTCCTGCCTCTATCTTACACTCTTTACTTGGTTCCTGAACTAAATTCCTATTTGCTTCTACACCCTTGACATTCTTTATAACCAAGGAAAACAATTCATACTCTTGTTTCATGTCAATTATCATCACTCATTACACACAAATCTAGATTATCCTCAACACAAACTGATATATGCACAAATTGTGCATTCACACACGTTATCCTACGTTTGTCTATATGTGGTGCTACATGCACAGACAACATTTTAACGTACTTTTCATCTTAAAATTACAGAAAACTAGATTTATATCTTGTGCCATTTTTGGCCTCATACAAACAATTAAAGATTGATTTATACAAATAACAGCTTTATAGTACTTACAACATTGGGCTTGTCTCGATTGTCGGGGATTACTGATGGAATCACTGTCCACAAACATTTCAAATTTCGTGACTTTTAGGCTGGCGAACTACAAACGCCCTCTTACGACCAAATGAAATTATGGTTAATCTGAACCGACGTCATGACAGAAAACTTTCTAAATCTTACACGACCAGAGCCGTGACCAAACCTAGCAGATCCCGGTGCGTTCAAGGCTCCACCAAACCCCAGCATTCTACAAACCACCCTCGCATCTCTCAGATCCCAGCTGTCATCACAGATAGTTCCCCAGGATCCATCGTGCAAAAGTTCTACTCTCCCTTCAGCATCGTTAGACCCACCGACAAGACGAACTTTAAACGGGTTCGAATGGACTACAAGAAAAATAAGAACTTGATAACTGTTATTTTCTTATTGATGATATCATCACTAATTTCAACATACGTTAGATGAAAAAGTATGATGGCATTTTAAATAAGTCGACCCATGTTTCGGTTGCTATTGATTGCATATAGGTATCCTAAAATTACTACCTATTTATTAACTCCATATTGAAAGCGGAGTGTAGACGAGAAGGAAATTAACACCATTGTGCCTTCGTCCAATGATTCATAGACGTAGGGAAACATCTTATTCTAACATGATTATTATGTACGATCCGCCACAATACCTGCCTCCTTATAAATCAACCGAATAAAAACACCTTGTACAATGATAATAACTATCTTATTTGTGAAAGATTCAGCCCCTTAACAAAATTGTTTCTTTAGTTATAAATAGATTCATTAAGAGGCAAAAAGGGAGATTTTTAAAGTCACTTATGAAAAACTTTTCTGATGTTCGTTCTCATTGAAACTCGTTCTCGGATAGATGTACTGGGGCGTCGCCAAAGGGGGGTGTGGGGGGGGGGTGCGACATCTCCCACCTGTCAGGATATTGTCGGTAAAATTGCGCTGCCGTCGGGAAAAAAGAGAAAAGGGGGAAGGAAAAAAAGAGAGGGAAAGGGAAAGAAAAGAAAAAAAAGAAAAGGAAAAGAAAAGAAAGAAAGGAAAAGAAAGGAAAGAAAGGAAAAGAAAGGAAAGAAAAGAGAAGAAAGAAAGAGAGGGAGGAGAGGAAAGAAAGGAAAAGAAAGAAAGAACAAAAGAAAAAAGACAAAAGGGAAACAAAAGAAACGGGGGGTGAAAGAGAGGAGAGAGGGGGAGGTAAGAGCCTGAGAAGGGAGGAGTGGGAGTAAAAGAAAGGGGGTGGGGGTTGTTGGGTGGAGTCGTCTCGTCAAGGAAGCAAGAAAGACACGGGTATATTATGGTGCTGTGTCGGGTCAGCTGTGTCGGTATTCTTGCTCGATCCTCGTGTACTATATCATTACAGAAGTTTGGAATCGGTGATATGTATATTGTCGGTCGGCCGACAAGTTTTTTTCCCTACGAACTGTGACTTTTTATCCGCTGTGACGACTTCGAGAGTGACTATGACTACAATACTTGTATTTTCTCGAAGTTTCACGTTCTTATAATATCAGCTAAAGAAATCAGAGGTTTAAAATTTTCGGGGAAACTAAATTCAAACAAGGATTAAAAGTCAACAACGGTACGACGAATCGTCTTCCTTTCTCTATATTATGATGAAACGCAAAAATTTCAGCACTTCGCGCGGGAGAGGGAAACTTCATTAAGGCGAGTCGAGAACGGTTCAACGAATCGTCTTCCTTTCTCTATATTTTGATGAAACGAAAAAGTTTTCGCGCTTTGCGCGGGAGGGGAAAACTTCATGTAGACAAGTCGAGAACGGTACAACGAATTGTCTGCTTTTTCTAATTTTTCGCGCAAGAAGGGGAAATTGAATTCAGATAAATAGAGCTTTTAATAATAAGAGTCGAAAACGGTGCAACGAATCGTCTTCTTTCTATAATAATTAAATCAAACGTGTAAGCTTTTCGCACTTCGCCCTGGAAGGGGGAGACTGAATTCAGACAAGTCGAAAACGGTACAACGAATCGTCTGCGTTCTCTTATAATTTAAGGAACCGTCAAAGCTTCCGCGCTTCGCGCTAAAGGGGGAAACTGAATTCAGTCAATTAGGGCATATTAAGAGTCGAAAACGGTACAACGAATCGTCTTCTTTCTCTAAAAATGTAATGAAACGTCAAAACTTCCGCGTTTCGCGCTGAAGGGGGAAACTTCATTCAGACAAGGATTAAGAGTCGAGCACGGTTCAACGAATCGTCTACTTTCTCTAATAATTTAATGAAACACCATAACTTCCGCACTTCGCGCGGGAAGGGGAAAACTGAATTCAGATAAGGATTAAGAGTCATGAACAGTAGGCCGACACCGAATCGTCTGCTTTTTCTCAAAATTTAATGATACGTCAAAGCTTCCGCGCTTCGCGCGGGAGGGGGAGAAACTGAATTTAGACAAGGATTAAGACTCGAGCATTGTTCAACGAATCGTCTAATAATTTAATGAAACGCCATTGCGCGGGAGGGGGAGATCTGAATTCAGATAAGGATTAAGATGAATTCAGATAAGGAACAGTACACCGGATCGTCTGCTTTTTCTCATAATTTATGAAATGTCAAAGCTTCCGCGCTTCGCGGTAATTGGTGGCTAGTTTTGTCGGTAATCGTTGGCCTCTACACCCCCCCCCCCCCCACTGAAAAAGGTCTAGCGACGCCCCTGTGTACTACTAGCTTATAATGTCGAGAAATCATACCTCCTGAGTAACACATGGCACCTGCATCACTTGTATGACTGCATGAGTAACGTGCATTCCCGGAATAACCACATTCTGCAAGGTTGTCTTCTGTTCCATCACAGTTGACCCTATCGAGAAGAATACGACCAGAGCCCTGACCAAACCTAGCAATTCCCGGTGCGCTCAAGGCTCCATCGAACCCCAGCATACTACAAACCACCCTCGCGTCTATCAGATCCCAGCAAACACCACAAACAGTTCCCCAGATCCGTCGTGCAAGACCTCCACCCTGCCTTTAGCACTGTCAGATCCATTTTATGAAATTCGACAAGCCGAACTTGGAATGGGTTCGGATGGGCTATAGTATGAAAATATGTTAAAATAGACAAAAATAGAAATTTGTCAATCTCAATAAGGCATTCCTACGTTGCATTTCATGTATTCATGTATTAATTGAAGGGGAGACTTTCGGAAATACTGTAAATATTTTATGAACGTAATTAAAGTTTTAAAAAAGTAATATAATCCTGAAACATGCGCGTTCCACTTTTTGCAATCGATTACTAAATAAGTCTTAAAGATAAAGTCCAGTTATGGTCATGCGATTGCATTGTGAAAGAAATGTTGTGGAATCGATCAGAAAAGGTTGATCATCTAGCCTATAAGTATTGGTGTGTATTTGGTGTGTGCTTTTATCTCTCACAGTCCAATAGATAAACTGATTTACCAAATATATCAATTAGTAGGCGGTTTCCCGGCAAAATTGTATCATCATGTATTAGTCAAAACGTTTTTCTTCTTCACATGATTGGTAATAAAGAGCTCCATTTAATTTTTTGAAATTGGGGCGCTTCCAATACTGGTCTTTAATTTTAAGTCCGTACCTCCAAAATAACATACGGCACCTGTGTCCATGTGATGTCCGCAGGGAATGCTGACAGTCGGCCAGGCTGTCTTCTGTTCCCAAACAATCGACACGAAAAACATCCCCAGCACCTTGACCAAACCTGGCTGATCGTGGCGCAGCCAGGGCGCCATCGAACCACAGCGTCTTGCAAACCACTCTTGCATCTTTTAGATTCCACGAGGCACCACAGGCAGTTTGCCAGGATTCACTATAGAAGAACTCCACTCTTCCTTCAGCATGGTTGGAGCCATTCACGAGACGTACTTCTGGTGGAAAAGTGTCCATGGTGCTATTTCTTCTCCGCTACACATTTAGCAAGAATAGTCAATCTAGAACAATTTCTTTGGGGACAAGTTTGTTTGCCCCAAATCGCTAGACTGCTAGCCGAAATTTCTCCCAAATCAGAAAACAAAGAATAGAAAAGCAAATTTCTAGTTTAAAGGGACTTTGTAACATTGTTCAGATGAGAGATAGTGGTGCTAAGGTAGTGACTTCAATGCTAGATGTACGATTAAAGATAATCTGAAATTTTGAGTGAAAACGGATCATTATTCATGGTACAAATTGGGAAAAACTGATCTGATCGATTCCTTAATTCTCCCAACTATGTTATTCTACTTCTATTATGCTACTTGTCAAAGCCTGTTCAGCATCAAGACAAGGACAATTTAATTACATTTTAGGTGAATGTAAATCGTCACAAAGCAATAAAATGGCTCTACATTCCATTCCAGACAGTTAAGTGTTGACAGATTTTTATAGCCTGTTTTATGTATTTTTCTCATGGAAAAACGGTTGGGAAAATTCAAAAATGGTTGGGAGAATTTACTTTTAATCACTGTTAGAGGGTGCCTCACATCGACGCCTTCAAAGAAAACCATAGATATCTATGTGGTTTGAGAATTTGTTCAGGATTTGTTGCATGCCAGAGGGTTAGTATAGTAAAAGGAATATAGTAAGTAACATTTTATACAAAAATTAAGCAATTTTTTTCATCAACCTTCAACAATGTTACCGAGTCACTTTAATATACTTCAAAGTTATTTTTAAATATTCCTAAGAGTTTTGGTAAGAATTAATTTCGATTCTTTAAAAAATGAAATATAGCTTTAACCAGGATAACCCCTTTTCTTGAGGTAAGAAATTGTATCACGACTTTTTCCACAAGTATACTGCTTAATAAACGACATGTTTTATGTGCAACCCCATTATGCCATACGAAGACGGCCACTGGTTTGTGGAAATATTAGTGAAAAGCAGATATTCACTTAGTTCGGACAAAGGCATGAAAAAGTCTATAACCACATTGATGGAAAACTGTGTCGTTTGCGCAAAAACGACATAAAAAATTAAGAATGGTTCTGACACGAGGTCTAATGAAAGGCAGAAAAAACAAGAAATATAGATCCACAAACTTCAAAGAAATTTTAACAAATGATAAAGGATGAATGTTTTAAAGCTGCGGCGATCAAACACGAATAAGCAATTCGACATACGTCGCGAGTACCTTTGTTCTGTACACACAGAGAAAAGTAGGTGTAATTTGACTCCTTATAGGGAGTAACTGCTTGTCACATACGTGTCACCCCTCAGGGAGTAAATTTACTCCCCAATGTAGGGAATAAATTATTTTTTTCATAAGAAGGTGTAAATTTGCACCCCAAGGTTATGATTGTACTCCCTTTAAGAAGTGAAATTTGCACCCAATGGTGTTCATTTAACACCTTTTATACCCTTTATGATCGATTCCACACCCTGCGGGGAGTAAATTTACACCCGTTTTATGCACAGCATCAATTAATAGATCATCCCTCGAGCAATCAATCATCCATGACTCGTAATCACCTAAAAGTCACTGATTCTCACCCTTTTGTCTACGTTTCACTGCTCTAAAGATATCAGACCGGAATGTCGAGTTATATGTTGAAAGGCTTTAATGCTTACCTAAATAACAATTAGTGTGAACTCTACACAAGTGCAGACAGTAAAAACTAACTTATGGCTGGACGTATCGGTTCAAATGTAATGGAATTACCTAAATACACAATCCTGCCTTACCGAATATTTTCCCTTTACTTTAATACACATATAAGAAGACAATTATGTACTAGTTAGTAAAACAACACTTATGCTAATTTCATTAAATTATCAAAAATAACCTTCGGTACAACCCCTTATTCTTGATCGGATAACTTTCACACAAACATGATAATTTCCCTAACATGACTAAAATATGTGAATTATGCTAATTTGTCTTCATTTGGCATTACCTATATTGACACGATGCGCCATTGATGTAGTGCTTGCGCGTATGCACTGACCAATCAGAGCTCGTCTGACAAAAATAGGGTGTAAAATTACATCCCTCAAATATCCACCCTTGCGTATTTCCGTTTTTACTCCCTAAAAGGTGTAATAGGGGCGCCCTATTTTTCCAATTTCGTTTTACTCCCCAAGGACACTTTTTATTTCTCTGTGTAATCCCTCCCCCCCAAAAAAAAAAAAAAAAAAATATATATATATATATCCCATGGTAATCACAATGTGTCTTACATTTTGTTCACACCCTTCGGTGAAATATATCTGTTATATTCATATTCAACAGTGAAAATGTATTAAATTATTTGAAATTCATTTAAGTTTTCTTTTGCAAATAAATAGAGGTACTTGCAAGAAATTATCATAAATTCGTCAATTTGCGTTTGATCGACTACGACAAAACAAAAGTCGTTCTTAATCGTCCTTTTTCAGATTTTCACTAATCTTTAAGCTTTCTGGGGGCGGATTCTTGGAAGTTTTCGGATTGTAGCATCCATTATAATCAAATGCTTTCACTTTAAGTTGCTCTCCGCAAAATAATTATAACATTCATCTCGATTATCTGTCCTTCCAAACTGAATCTCTGCTTTTTCTCAGTTCTCTTTCGCTGAGGAGATTGAAAAATATCAACCTTTGGTAGATATTAAAAAATACTCTGATCTATTTCTCGTTGAAATTTAACAGTTTAGAGAAAGAAAAAAAAGTCAGAGGTGAAAATGAAATAAAGTCTTTGGATGGAATTCATTTATATAAAGAAATTATGGCAATGTGAAACGTAAAGCAAACCTGAACTGAGTTGCACGTCCTACGACTTAACTTTAACGGCGAAACTTTACCAAAGATTAACTGCAATCTTCAACCAGGGAAAACGCACTTCCCAAACTTAAGCGTAGCCTCTCCCTCTCTGAGGTAATCAGTGAACATTAATAAAAACACCTGCTTTTTACCCTTCGTAAAATAGGCGTGGCCTACAAGGACAGAAATATTTCCGGGGACGCCAACGGATATATTCCTAGCAACAACGTTGAAGTCTCCAATACTTTTGATAGGTTGCAGAAACATCTGATGTTAACATTAATATCATTAACAATATTTTTCGAAACTTTTTGCATACCAGACGGAACAGACGGTATACATTTTATTGATATACACATTACATTCAGACCGTCTCCAATTCAAGTTAATTGAAATTTCATTAAGCAGTTGTTTCGATGTCAGTAGACCATTAACATTCCTAGTCACCCCTGTCGGACCGCCTGTCAAAGACTGAACAACAAAACAATAATAACATCAACCAAAAAAACAAACCTTAAAACATTAAAAGATGTAATAACACATAGACTGATATATAAAAAAAAAAGAGTAAGAACAGACAACCCTAAGTATTGTTTGGAAACAAACATTATAGCTTTAAACTAAAAAACCAGAACTTGGACTTCTTAATAGATTTCTGCCAATATTGTCTTACAGCCCTGTAAATTAATCACCACTAATTAATTTCAGATAGGGTCTACTTTTCCGCCTGTTTTGATAATAATAATATATAACATTTTTAAAGAGCTTAATACCACGTTTCTGGGCCCATTAAAATCGAAAACCAAGATATGTTTGTCGCAAGATAACAGATAATCAGATCATTTCATACAAGTTAGGGGACAATAAAACTATTGTACTCAGATTGGGTCTGAAAATATAAAATGAACTTATCTAGAACTTTATGAGAAATGACAACTTTCAATAGTTTCCGTGTCATTTCGTTCCTTTGTTTTTTGCAGACATTTCCTGTCAGAAAAATATAATTTATACAATGAGAGTACATGAGGCAACAATTTGATACTGTGTGTGCTTCAGTATTGATCAGTTTAAGTGATATAAACAACACACATAACGCACCAACAAATATATTCGACAAACCTATTAGGTGGCCTTTTCTTTTGCAGAATAATTCTGGGAGCCAATCAAACCAATCGGACATTTCTTTGTTGCATGTTTCGGATTTGGAGTATCTGCACTCGGTGTTGTTCAGTTGTAAGTTGTTTTATCTGATGCTTGTTATATACAAATTGAATGTGCTAAATTACAAAGAACACAGTGAGTTTAAATGTAGTAAGAACATGTTTGTGTTGGAAGAGGAATAAGACAAACATTTCAAGAGGATGTTAACATGACAGGTCATGACAGGTCTTTTAGTCAGCATGACTTATGCACATGAATCTGCTTCTGGTACATTTAGTGTTTTATGTACGACAGATTATTCTGTCCCAAGTTTACAATAAATAGTTCATAGATGCGATATCTATAAATGTTTATCTCCTTCATTGTGTGTCTTTTAGTCAATATGGCATATGTTCAGTCATATAGCTGTCACATTGTTTCGTAGGTTGGTTTACTGGAATCCTCGATTTTTCATCACGTTCTTTAAAATACATACTACTACTATGTAATGTCATAGCCCCTCTGTGCCACCGGCTCCTCTCTCACGTATTCACCGTCGCTACTCTAATTCCACCCTCTAAATTCATGATTGTTGTCTATCCATCCTGCACGACATCTATACCACCTCAGCACTTCCCTTCAAATTCGCTTCCGATAGTTCCTAGTACAACACTCTCCTTTCTTCTTTTCTAGTGCCAATACTTTGCGATCTCTCTTTTTCTTGACTTGCCGAGATTCTTTCCTCATGTGGTACCGTTAAAATACATTTGGAAAATTAATTGTCCCTGGTTTCATCAGATTGTCCATTTGATGCTGCTGTGATATTGTTCCGGATAGATCCAGTCTCTAGCATAGCACTTGGAAGAAGACACCCATCGAGATCTGTTTCGGTTCCTGTTGCAGGACTTTGGTAGACAGTTTTAATATCTATGTACTCTTGTATCTCTTTTTGGGACGTGTCTTGCGGTAAAGGGACCTTCCCTTCACCTCCGGTACAAGCGATTTCCATGTTCGATTCCTTGTCATGATTTTCACGAGTTAGTTCATATGTTACTGTATCACCATCGTTCAATGAAGGCATTGTGTTTTGAAGGACGCATCCATCAAGAGCTATATCCGTCCCCGTTTTCGGCTTTTGGTAAACCGTTTTCATTTCCATATAATCGTTTTTCATATTTTCCTTTATGCCATGAAAAGAAGACCCCGTTCCTGCTTTTTCATCAGAAGGTTTTGGCATGTCGATTTTGCAACCACCGGTTTTCTTATCTGATACCGACTTTCCATCGTTTGAAGGTATTTCTGTGTTCGGAAGGAGATATCCGTCTATGTCCAAGTCCTTATCAGTTTGAGGTGTATGGTAAACAGTTTTCATATCCATGTACTTGTGTATCTCTTTTTGTGACGTGTCTTCCGGTAAGGGGACCTTTCCTTCACCTCCAGTACAAGCGATTTCGAAGTTCGATTCCTTTTCGTTATGTTCACGAGTTAGTTCATATGTTACCGTATCATCATCTTTCAACGAAGGCATTGCGTTTGGAAGGACGTATCCATCAAGATCTATGTCCGTCCCCGTTTTCGGCTTTTGGTAAACCGTTTTCATTTCCATATAATCGTTTTTCATATTTTCCTTTATGCCTTGAGATAATGACCCCGTTCCTGCTTTTTCATCAGAAGGTTTTCTCTTATCTGATACCGACTTTATATCGTTTAAAGGTATTTCCGTGTTCGGAAGGAGATAACCGTCTATGTCCAAGTCCTTATCAGTTTGAGGTGTTTGGTAAACAGTTTTCATGTCCGCATACTCGTGGTCCTCTTCTAAATCACCATCATGATTATCTTTTATTTTTTCTATATTTGATTCATAGTGGTGACCAAAAACATCACTTTTCCGCCTTTCAGGTAATTTAGGGGCAATGTTCAATGGTTGGTAACCAGTAACATGTGACAGAGCTTGCATTGATGACATAGTCGTTACGTCCATATATATTTCAGTATCTAAATTCCTAGCAGCCATTCTCTTTTTAAACCTAAGAATACAGTACCCAAGTGATGCGATCAGAATGCAGCTTAATAATAAAATACACAGTCCAATTAAAATTATCATTCTGAAATCAACTAGTAGAATTGGGACTGCAGTTGATTTTAAATTTCCAATTTTACTCGTGTAAAGCGGATGTCGTGGTGTGCTAAAGTTTTGTCCTTGCATTTTTGAAGGAACTTTCGTAGTTTCATGTCCAATTTGCAAAAGCTTGGTTGTGTACGCAGAAGGTATTTCATCAGAGTTAATCAAGTCCGAGTAATTCGTCAAACCTAGAAAGATGAAGAAACAAGTTTGTACCGATAAATATTCATGGAATGAAAAAAATGTAGAGATTGCAAAAAAAAATGAATAAAAACAGGCCTTTTCCCAAACATTGCATACAATTTATTCGTAAAAAGGGAACCTACATTTTTTCTTAAAGCCTTTGGCAGTATTTATTTTATTTGAAATTCTTTTGTTCTAACACTTAACTTTTAAAATGTCTATTTTACTGTCTTAAGTTTTCCTAAAATTCCATGCTTGTATTTTTTCCTAATTTCGAGTGACGGACTAATATGGCAAGATATATTAGGGAAGTTGTGTTTTGAATGCATAATAACGTTACCCGGGTGTTCGATTACCGTGATTAAAAAATATAATTTAGGCCTTTTCTTTTCGATGTAGACGATCTGTATCCAGTTGTTTTTGCTTTTTATTTTTTTAATGACGGATTCATGGTATTACCTCCATGTCTACATATGACACTGGCATCCTCTTTGTGTATACAATTATGAACACCTATTCCCTTATGCTTGCAGTCTTTGAGGTTGGTTTCTGTTCCATTGCACTGAACACCATCCAGAAAGATATCACCAGAACCCTGACCAAATCTTGCTTGGGGTAGAGCAGCTAAAGCCCCATCAAATCCTAACTGTCGACACACAACTTTAGCGTCGTTCAGGTCCCATGAATCGTCGCAAACAGTTCCCCAAGACCCTTCGTGTAGTATCTCAACTCTTCCTTCATATCCATCGGCTCCATTGTCAAGTTGAACTAAAATGTATAGCAAACAAATACAGGGTGGGTTAGGGTGATATTGACCCTATCAAAGAGAATTATGAATATTTATTGATAATCAACGCAATTACAAACGAATTCTTTCATAGAACAGTATTTTGGAAATCCTTGGTGAAAATTGACGAACACTTCTAAGGAATATTCGCTAGTGAGCATTTTAACCACAGCTTGATATTTCGACAAATTTGTAAGTAAAAAAATAATGACGGATTTTTATTGCAATTTTAGGTTATCCCCTTTAAATAAAATGTTAACAAGATCTCACATCGCAATTATACAAGAAAAAGATTAATCTACAGGAACACTTGTATACATTTGTAGAACATAAATAATTCTGACAGTTTTATGAATATGAAATTCTCTTCTCCATTAGCACCGGAAAGGTATGGAAAGTATCAAATCAAGAAGCATATGCCTATCCAGCCAGGATAAAAAATGTTGACGATCAGAATTTCTTTATTCTATTATGATTTGAAAATCTTACCCCCCACAGAGCAAGAGGCGCCAGCATCACTACCATGACTACAATGAGAACTTCCTACACCTGCGTGAAAACAAGCTGCCAAGTGATCTTCTGTTCCCTCACAACGAACATATGTCAGAAGACTTTGGCCATGTCCTTGACCAAACCTTGCAGAAATAGGTGCAGCCAATGCGTCGTTAAACCCTAACATTCTGCAAACCACCCTCGCGTCTTTTAGATCCCACCAGTCATCACAGATAGTTCCCCAGGATCCATCGTGCAGTACCTCTACTCTTCCTTCAGCATCGTTAGATCCATTGACAAGACGAACTTGAAATGGATCTAGAGGGTCCAGATGAAGTGCATGTTATCATTGACAAAAGTGTGTACAAAAGATTTATTCAGTTGCCATTAAATTTACTTTAAACAAATTACTGACACCCTCTACAAAAAATAATAGTAAGATGTATGACAAAGATTAATATTCGTAAAAGGTAGCCTATGCATGAAACATTTAATAGCCAACACAAACATTGGTGCATAAGGTTTACAAATTTATAAGCACAAGTCACTGAAGTGTTACCAATCGACAAAAATGCCAAACGAACCATTTTGTTCGATTTTATATTATGTTTAAACTATTTAACTGAGCCTAACCGTAGGAATCATGCTTATGACCAATGGAAGTTTTTTTTTTTTTTTATATCTGAGATACCTTCCCGTAACTCCATTTTGGCTGACAACTAGTATAAATGAACACTAACAATTTAAAATACACAACGTACCTTCTATAAAACAAATGACACCAGCATCACTATCATGTTCACAGTTGTTGACTCCAAACCCTCGATGGTAGCACTCAGCAAGGGTTTCTTCTGTGCCCTTGCATCCAACGTCATCAAACAAGATTTTACCGCTTCCGGCACCAAACGTAGCACTACCAGGTGCGGCTAAAGCTCCGTCAAATCCAAGCATTTTACAAACTACTCTTGCGTCTCTTAGATCCCAGCTATCATCGCAAATAGTTCCCCAGCCTCCCTTATACAAAACCTTCACCCTGCCCTCTGAATCGGTGGTTCCATTGGTGAGACGAACTTGAAATGGTTCTGTTGTGTTTACTGAATGGTAAGGATAAAAAGCAGATTAGATCTATCAGGTAAAATGTACATACTCTTGCAATAAATGTAATCTTGTGCCCCTCTTTAAAAAACACATTAAAGTACATGGATTGGTTAACAGCGTTTTACCTGATCGGAAATATCTGTAGAAGAGCAATCTCTTGACCATTAAAACAAGATTATAGGTGAGACGTCGGATTAAGCAAGCTTTCTTGTAATTCTTGTAAGTCAATTAACATCAATGATCGACCAAAGGAATAGCAAAATATACCTGCATGGGTATATGCAAGCGAATAAGTAAGAATTATTTACTCAAATACCTAACAACAACAAAATAAAAAATGAAACAACCTACCTTCTGAATAACAAACAGCGCCTGCATCATTTGTATGACTGCATGAGAAACGTTGAATCCCTGTATGAGCGCAGTTTGCAAGGTTTTCTTCTGTTCCATCGCAACCGACATTAACTAGAAGAATACGACCAGAGCCTTGACCAAACCTAGCAGACCCCTGTGCTTCCAAGGCCCCATCGAATCCAATCATTCTGCAAACCACCCTCGCGTCTCTCACATCCCAGCCTAAATTACAGATAGTTCCCCTGGATCCTTCATGCGTGACCTCTACTCTTCCTTCAGCATTGTTAGACCCTCCAATCAGACGAACTTGAAATGGCTGGGGATGGGCTGAGGAGAAAAGTATTTTTATACTAGTTTACCTTTTTTCAAATTTTGCGAATGTTTATGAAAAATCCCTGATCATTTGCCTGAATTACTAATACAAATGAATTATTTTGTAAAAGAGAAACCTACCTCCAGAATAACAAATGATGCCTGCATCCCTGACATGACCGCATGAAGTATAATCTCCAACTCCTCGATGAGCACAGTCTGCCAGGTTGCCCTCTGTTCCCTCACAGTTGACATCCTTTAGCAGAATACGACCAGAGCCCTGACCAAACCTAGCAGATCTCGGTGCTTCCAAGGCTCCATCAAACCCCAGCATTCTACAAACCACCCTCGCGTCTCTCAGATCCCAGCCTAAATGACAGATAGTTCCCCAGGATCCATCGTGTGTGACCTCTACTCTGCCTTCAGCATCGTTAGACCCAGCAATCAGACGAACTTGAAATGGCTGAGGATGGGCTGAGGAGAAAAGTATTTTTTATACGAGTTTACCTTTTTCAAATGTTGCGAATGTTTATGAAATATACCGGATCTTTTGCCTGGATAACTAATGATAATGAATTCAGGTGTAAAATGCTAACAATTCGATGTTTTCTCTATGCACCGTTAGGGTGAAATGAACACCAATACAGTTGTCATTCTTCTCTATCATTTTATTGGAAATAAATCAGTAATAATCCAGAGGGAAACTACGCAGCTACTTCGATATCATTTCACTGGATATCTGGTCGAAATTAAAATTGCGTTTATCAGCCGTAAGAGGGTTTTCCCCTCCATTGTCGTAAATAGTATGAAAAGCACTCGACTTGACTTTTAAACAAAAAGTCCTTAATTTCCAATTCTGAGTTTTGGAATTCCTGCTCCATTTAGTCTTCATATATCGACTCGGGACTTTCATTCTATAGAATATGGACCAGAGAAACCTACCTCCAGAATAACAAATAACACCTGCATCGCTGACATGACCGCATGAAATATAATCTCCAACTCCCCCATGAGCGCAGTCAGCCAGGTTGTCTTCTGTTCCCTCACAGTTGACATTCTTTAGTAGAATACGACCAGAGCCCTGACCAAACCTAGCAGATCTCGGTGCTTCCAAGGCTCCATCAAACCCCAGCATTCTACAAACCACCCTCGTGTCTCTCAGATCCCAGCCTAAATGACAGATAGTTCCCCAGGATCCATCGTGTGTGACCTCTACTCTGCCTTCAGCATCGTTAGACCCTCCAATCAGACGAACTTGAAATGGCTGAGGATGTGCTGGGGAGAAAATTATTTTTATACGAGTTTACCTTTTTAAAATTTTGCGAATGTTTGCGAAATAAACCTAATCTTTTGCCTGGATAACTAATGAAAGTTAATTAATGGGTGAAATGCCAACAATTCGGTGTTTTCTCTTTGTACCGTTGGGGTGAAACGAACACAATACAGTTGTCATTCTTCTCTATTATTTCATTGGAAATAAATCGGTAATTATCCAGAGGGAAACTACGCAGCTACTTCGATGTCATTTCACTGGATATCTGGTCGAAATTAAAATTGCGTATATCAGCCGTAAGAGGGTTTTCCCCTCCATTGTCGTAAATAATATGAAAAGCACTCGACTTGACTATTTTTAAAAAGTCCTTCATATCCAATTCTGTGTTTTGGAATTCCTGCTCCATTTAGTCTTCATAGATCGACCCAGGACTTTCATTCTGTAGAATACGGACCAGAGAAACCTACCTCCAGAATAACAAATGACGCGTGCATCCTTGGCATGACTGCATGAAGTATAATCTCCAACTCCTCTATGAGCGCAGTCTGTCAGGTTGTCTTCTGTTCCCTCACAAATGACATCCTTTAGCAGAATACGACCAGAGCCCTGACCAAACCTAGCAGATCTCGGTGCTTCCAAGGCTCCATCAAACCCCAGCATTCTGCAAACCACTCTTGCGTCTCTTAGATCCCAACTGTCATCACATATAGTTCCCAATAATCCATCGTACAATACTTCTACTCTGCCTTCAGCTTCATTTGATCCACCAATCAGATGAACATCAAATGGGGTTGGATTAGCTACACGTGAATAGGAAAGACGTATATACCGCATTGGGATAGCATTTTGGCTAATGTCATATTAGCTTTGAATATAATTGTAAAAGAAATTTGAAGAAAGATTATTTGTATTAAGAAATCCTATCATCAACACATTAAACTCATAATACTGAGGTTAAACGAAAATGTTTTGAATAATTTTAATGATCCACCAAAACATTTTCGGCTTAAAATCATTTGTGCTGAAAAAAAAAAATATTAAAGAAAATATATGGCAAGCCGTTTTAACATATATTCCTATTTCTTGATGTCAAGAATTAAATTCTTCATATAAAGAAATGAATTCTTGATATCAAGAATTACCATTGCTTTACAACAGAAAATCATATCTTGATATCATATTCGAAATCAGAATGAATTTCTGCACAACTCTTGCCTTCGAAATCAGAATGAATTTTTACACAACTCTTGCGCTCGAAATAAATTGTGAATTTGTGCAATACTTTTGCGCTCGATATCCACATAATTCTCGCAATAGTCTTGCGTTAAGATATCAAGAATTGAATTCTTGATATAAAAAAAAAAAAGAATTCTTGTAATCAAGAAATGAATTCTTGATATTAAGAAAGATGAATAAATGTTAAAAGGGCTTGCCATAAAAATACGTCTGGTTATAGAATTACGGAATATGGTGTGGTTGCATTTGATGGTAATTAAATTAAAATTTAATTTAATTGTTGATTGTTTAGACCATTTGCACATCAAATGCGAAGAATTATTCAGTTTTAAGTCACTTAGCTCTTGAGATTTTTCATATTCATTCATTAAGCATGCAAACAATTCACAGCACGTTTAGTTGAACAAAACTTTGTTATACGAGAGAAGAAAATGTACCTCCTGTGTAGCAAATGGCTCCTGCGTCACTTGTATGGCTGCATGAGTTTAGGTCAATCTCTGCATGAGCACAGTCAGCTAAGTTGTCTTCATTTCCGTCACAATTGACATCATTTAGTAGAATACGACCAGAGCCTTGACCAAACCGTGAAGATCTCGGTGCGTCCAAGGCTCCATCAAACCCGAGCATTCTACAAACCACCCTCGCGTCTCTCAGATCCCACCATGAATCACAGATAGTTCCCCAGGATCCATCGTACAGTACCTCTACTCTGCCTTCAGTATCATTCGATCCATTGGCAAGACGAATTTGAAATGGATTCGGATGGGCTACAAGACAAAAATTGCGTGATAGTTGTTACATTAACGGCGAATACAAACTTTTTGGCAGCTCAGCATTAAACTAGCTATTCTTCGGTTGCCATTGATTCTTTGCTCAAAATCTATAACTAGCATTCTACGGTATGCTGAAGTAACTGGGATATCAGGTTACTTAAAAGCTGCGAAACACGTGATTGGTGGGACTCCGCTCATCCCCTGACAACGGATGATCAAAGGGCACCTGCCATCAGAAACGATCTGACGCACTCTTTGAATTTCTGTTTTTCTTTCATCAGATCTGGCTTACATTTATGTATACCACGCACACGCAGGGCGAGATTCAGATTTTTACCCAGTGTTATACACGTTTTCAACAGTTCTATACCATGTGAGTCAAAAGAAAGTTTACACCTAGAAAATTGCTAATTATTTTTAAAATCATCTATGTACAGTAAATTATTATACATCTTATGAAAGAGTGTTTTATCCCAAACCATTTGGTACCATTGTTGTGTGGTATGTGTTCACGCTTGAATGAACATGGTATTTGGATGTATGATGGGCAAGAGCAAGTAGAGGCATATAAATAATAAAGTACACCTTCTTTGGTTGTGTTCTTTTGCAAGTAAAAAAAAAACTCGTGTAGAATACTAATGGACAAGATAACATTAAAGATGTCTGTTGGCTCATTGAACGACCAACAGAAATGATGAGTTTTGGTGGGGTATTCTAAAGTTGAGCCCGTCATTTTCTCGAAGTCACGAGGAGGGGCTTCCATTGTTTAATTCAATCTGGTCGTCGATATGATTTGGAGTATCTTTCTCTTGGTTTTCGGAGCTGCTGTCACAAAAACTGAGTAAACCTGGAAATAGCTTCCGGACGCTTACATACGTTCAATGCGCATGCATCATACGTGTACCGCCCCCGCGCCATCGTACACGGGAATTATGTAAGTCCCGGAAGTGGCTCGAAATTACGTCCGAGAGGCTACATCCTGGCATGTATTGGCGATTGCGAGAATTATAAAATCGGAAAAGGCAAAAGTAATCGATCTTTGAAAATTATGAAATCAGTTTATGTTAAGCAGTCAGTATCGTTATTTACGTTTAAATGTCATTTGTAAAAAAAGAATACAATACATTTTTTTTTTTAAACTGCGAACATCTCATTTGTATTGAATGAACTATTTCAAATCATAGCTATGCCTTTATATATCAGTGTTGTAGTGCATTGACCGTAAGGCACCTTCAGGCCCATTTTTAATCTCATTGCCTTTGTTTTTGCCTTGAGGATCCAAAGCGCTGTTATTTTTTTCCATTGCATTAATAATCTTATTATTTTCTCAAGTACTTTGTTTAAGTAGTTTGGTTGATAGCACTATGCTATGAAAGCAATACCAATTTTTACATGTAGGTGAACATAATAGATCAAGAACCCCCCCCCCCCCCCCTGCTACCACACAATGTCCTTCCCGTTACAGAAGAAGTGTTCTGACGTAAAATCTGCCCTTTTTGTGACCCTCGTTTGTCCTCATTCATGTCAAAACAGATGCCTTTTTTTGATAGATATATAGGTCTGCATCTGTGTTTGCTTTCTTCACTGCTGATCACCCCCTTCCCCAACATGCCTAAGTACAAGTCAAATCTTGCTTTTATGAATGATATTTAATGTCTCCCCTGACAAAAACTCGTCCCATCGAAGTGAACACATTTCGTTCCAACCATATAACATAATGCCCTTCTGGAGCTAAAATTGACGCGGGCGGCATTTGAAAGGGACATTTTTAAAAAAAAAGCAAAATAGAGGGCGCGAAAAAATACGTCATATGCGCCCCCAATACGCAAGGTAAACTGCATTAGGATTAAGATAATAAAAGCAACAGTTGTCTAAAGCTCATTCGCAGTGAACCCTGGCAAAAGGAAACTTTAGGATGTCGTTATTTTAACCCCGCTATATAAAATAACTTATAAACAGCTCTTCAAAGGGACGATGCAGATTAAAAAAGAAGAACAAAGAGAATGCCATCGTCATTCCTACGCTCCTTAAAATAAGCCTTTGAGTTGCTCCGGCCTGATTTTGATACTGCGCCCCCCCCCCCCCCCCCCCCCCCCACCCCAAACAAAAAAAAATAAATTAAAAAAAATAGGATAATATACATATATTTTAAAATTACACTTGCAAAATGTTTCAATATCTGAAGGAAATCTTAAAGGTAAAGACCAGTATTGAAAATGCCCGAATTTCAAAAAAAAATGAAATGGAAGCTCTAATTACCAATCATGTGAAAGAATATGTTTTGACTAATACATGATTATAACAATTTGCCGGGAAACCGCCTACTAATTCATATATTTGGTAAATTTGTTTCTCTCATGGTCTGTGAGAGATATAGGGTAGTCCCATATACATCTTTCTGTGTATAGTGCTTGTAACTTTACGAAGAATGGGCCAAATTTCTTATCATTTTGATGATTCCAGAACCTTGCAGATGCTAGATGCTAGATGATCAACCTTTTCTGATCGATTCCACAACGTTTCTTTCACAATGCAATCGCATGACCATAACTGGTCTTTACCTTTAACTTTGGAATGTCTTTCTAGTTTCCTCGACAAGATGTATCCTGGGATTCGAAAATACCATATTTCGAATAATCCGCACTCTATACCGTTCGATTAAATTGCTCCCTTAAGGATATTTTTTGCCACCTGTTAAAATAATGCAGATATAAGTCTGAGTGGAGGGGGGGGGGGGGCGGTGAATACAATTTGTTTTACACAATTCCATAATCCCCAGCTACTACACTGGTTGCTGTGCTACCTTGCATGAGACCTAGTATTCAATACCCTGGCATACCAAGTAAGAAACCTTAAATTGTACATTGGGCCTAACAGCAAATTTAAAGAAGAAAGGGGCATTGAAGGTTTAAAAGTAGTGATGTATCTCCTGATAATACTAAAATACAGTGCAAAACAGATTTACGCTTTTCCTACATGATTTATTAACCAAATTTGGATGCAAGCTCCAAATCAAGCTTTGCTAAAGAGCGCTTCAAGTCCCTCTTTATCAATAAGCTCGATTTGCTTGAGCACCAGCTTTTTACATGTATGTCCAGGAAATCGACAACATACACATATATATATATATATAGATATATGTGTAGTAGGTTGTGAAAAGCAGGTTTAATATGAAACTTAAAATGTGTAACACTTTTCCACAAATAGAGAGAAAACATACTTCCTGAGTAGCAAATGGCTCCTGCATCCTTTGTATGACTGCATGGGTTAAGTCCAATTCCTGCATGAGCACATTCTGCTAGGTTGTCTTCAGTTCCCTCACAGCTGACATAATTTAGTAGAATACGACCAGAGCCCTGACCAAAACTAGCAGTTGTCGGTGCGTCCAAGGCTCCATTAAACCCCATCATTCTGCAAACTACCCTCGCGTCTCTCAATTCCCAGCTGTTGTCACAGATAGTTCCCCAGGATCCATCGTTCAGTACCTCTACTCTTCCTTCAGCATCGTTAGACCCACCGACAAGACAAACTTGAAATGGATTCGGATGGGCTAAAAATGAATTTTAAGAAACGTAATTCGTTTGTAATAGTGTAAGGATACAATATTTACACACAGCTTTGGCTACTTTTGTGGAAATGATTATACATGGATTGCGAAAATGTACATTTTTTAGTATCATTATTCACGTTTCGATATCATCCATTTAGAACAATAAACACAATGCAGCTTTTTTCATAACTACAAACATCTCCTATGAAATTGAATAAACCATGTCAAATCATAGGTTTGCCTCTATTTACCAATGTTGTAATGCATTGGCTTTAAGGCGCCTTTTTTTCCTTTGAGGGTTCAAATCGTCATCATTTTTTCTAGTAATCTCAAAGCGATTTCAAGGCATTTTTAATCTTACTCTTTTCGTAAGTAATTTTTTAAAAGTAGTTTGGTTGCTTTGTCCGATAACAATTTTTTATGAAAGCAAAACCAATTCTTCATGTAGGTGAACATAATAGATCGAGAAAATGCCCCTCCTGCTACAAATCCTAAGAGAACAACAATGTCCCTCCTGTGGCAGAAGCAGTGCCCCGATTAAAAGTTACCCCTTGTGCGTGGACCTCTTCAAAATCATTCATGAAACGTAAGAAAAATCACTAAAGGCTTGTTCAGAAATGGCGTGTAAATGAATGGCAACTGTGCGCACCAAAGGACGCACCTTACGTCATATATATATATATATATATTTAAAGCCGAGGTTTTGCCGCGCGTTGTCTGACCGAGCATTTACTGTCAGTAACTGATGAAAAAGTGTATGAACTTAAATATACATATATTATTATGAGTACGGAAACTTAAAAGCAATATGACTGCATGTTAGCCAGCATTCAATGAATGCCTAGACAAATTGTAAAAGTCAAACGCAGTCATAGAATGTGATAAAACCTTTTCCTTAGATTTTAGTAATTGATTTTGTAGCAATGATAGGAAAAAAAGTAATTGTATGATCATACAAGCTCAAGATAATCTGTGTTTTGTATTGCGATGTTAACAGTATGCCATTTAAAATGACGACTAGTCGATTCCTCATGTCCAAAAGAGTTCATACCTCCTAAGTAACACACGGTACTCGCATCCCTGTGATGACCACAAGAAGAGTCAAGCCACACACTGTGACAGTCTACCAGGCTGTCTTCTGTTCCCCAGCAGTTGACACCAAGAATATCACCAGAACCTTGACCAAACCTAGCCGATCGTGGCGCGTCCAGGGCACCGTCGAACCACAGCGTTCTACATATTACCCTTGCGGTTAACAGATTCCAGTAGTAACCACCACAAACGGTCATCCACGATCCACCGTACAAGACCTCCACTCTTCCTTAAGCATTGTTGGAGCAATTTATAAGACGTATATCTAGGTAGAATATTGTCGATGAGTTTCCGAAAAACTCCATTTAATTGTAAATTATCCAAAGTGGTTTATTGTGACGCAGAACGAAAGTAAGAATTAACCTTTTTCTGAAACGGATCCGTTGCCCCTCTTTTTCATTAGAAAATATGATAACAAAAGAATCAGGTCATTTAGATCGTAAAACTGTGATAGCTAACGAGCGCGTTGCTGGACATTTTTTGGAGGGGGGGGGGCAGCGGTTAAAATAGCTTCCAGACTGCTGACATTTGTCAAATAAGCTTGGAGTTTCTCTGTTTATATGTTTCCTGTTATAACTATGTGTATGAATTATTCGTGGAAAAGGCAGAAAATTAAAGATATAGGTTGGTAGGGTTTTAGAGAAGTCGGACCAAGCCAAGGTCATTCATAATATTGCGAATCTATTCATTTTGTGTGGTAACATGGAGCTTCCGACAATATATCATGTCATGATACCCTAACGACTGGTTGAAGGTGACTAGACACTAGACCTTTCATCACGAGATCCGAGTCACAATTTATATTGAATTGTACTCTTTGATAGATTATCGTATTAATGTATACACGTTGAACAGAACCCAATTCAGAAGTCACGCATGCGTGCGCGCGCACTTAGTATATTTCAGACCAGGCTTTCGTAACCAAACAAAATTTGGCCAATGGTTCGAAATTTGCAAAAATTACTCAATGACATTTCAATGAATTGTTCATGTCGTTCATGGATGGAATTTGAATATTCATTCTCTCGCAAGTGCGGAAAAAGCAAAAAGCTGTCATCTCTTGCATGCTTGTCTTATCTCCTCAAGCTAGTCAGTCGTTCCTCTTCTTACACGTGAGGATATGTCGAAAGATTTTGCCTCATGGAGAAATATCCATTTCCTAAAGACGTACATCCGTCAAAATGCCCTTTTCCTTTTTTTCATAGTGGAAGTGCCATTTTTTGTTGGAAAACATTTTCAAACTATTGTATCCACAATGTTTTCCACTCTAAACTAAACAAAAACTTGGCCATTTGTAATAGGCTCTCGTATTTCCTACCTTAATACGCGGAACGTATGGACAAAGGTGTAAGCAGGACCACTCCATCTAGCTACAACCAGCAGGACCAGGATTCCTTTATACATTTAGTAAAGAGCCGTTGGTAGAAGAGGCGGAGCTATTTCTCGTACCTATTAAATAACATAGAACAACACTCTTGCAAAGCTAGCCTGCCGGGTAGCGTCTTATTTGTTCGTACCACGGCGAGCCCAGATCGAGCTCGCGAGGGAAACATGCGATGAGGTGATGAGGTCGTTGTAGTGTTCAGGTCCTACATTCATGAGAAACTGACTACGCCCAGTTGGGAATTAAATATGTACTCATGGTACTATAGTCTAGGTAATTCATTGATAACTAGGTTAGTAATGCTTATGCATATAGCGTGTCGATGCTCGACCAAGACGATAATATGATGCTCGAACTGTTTTTTTTTTCTTCTAAAGTATCATTGAAACCGCATATTTTAATGTAATGCAATAAGTTCCATGCAAGGTGCCCTTCTTTTTCGCCCCAGAGCTTAGCTGCCTAAGATTGTTTGCCTTTTTGAAATAACCTCGTTATCGTGTTTCATAACGTAACTACTTTTAGATGGTTCAACGTAGAAATCTTAAGTAGCTCTTTTGTAGTATAAGCATCATAGGAAATGAACACAGATTGTGAATCAAGTACATTTATTGTAACCGTTTAAGTCTGTGCTAAGCCACACGGGGATATCTCTCTAATGCTCAACCGTTTTAGGATGATAATGTACTTGTTTGCATATTTTCTTCAATATTACATCTGTATTAAAGTGGAAACTAGTTCTTCCCTTTCATCCTTTCTCTTTGACTTTGTGTATGTAATATACATATTAGCATATAATAGCGGCGTGAGTTTTGGGGGAGTGTTCAGTGCAGTTTACCCTTTTCCTGCCGCCTCTTGGAACCTGTTCTTGTGAGAAACGGCTGGGATCAGCCACGAGCTGTGCCTCAAAGGTTCTTTTATGTCGAGAAATTATATGTTTGGTTAAAAAGAAGAAGGACGATATTGTAACTTCTGTACTAGTTGTCGGTAACCTCCAGGAAAGCACGTCTCGGAAAAACGCATCAGCCTGAACGAAAGGAATTCATCGCATCGACGTATACGAGTTTCAGATGGGTTGTCACGCAAGTCATAAACCGACGCGAGTTGTGTTATAGCACAGGAAGTGCAGCAGAAACTGTAGTTTATTCTCATCTCATCTGTACTTTTGCTTTTGAACGAATGTGAATTTATATCAATGGCCTATGATGGCGAATTTCCTAACTTGGTGTACATTAAAGGCAACATATTCCATTTAATATATTATATGTAGGCCTATGGAGTGTGGGACCCTGATGTTAAAAGTTTTTCCTGAAATGCAATGTCTAGCTAACAATTTAATACCCAATTGTTTGTGAAGTGGTCTCACCCCTCCTCCTTCCTCTTTACCCTCTCATGCTCTTTCCATTTCTCTCAAGTTAACTCGCAGCTTTTCCTGCCTGAATTCCATTTTTTTATTACAACAAAACATGGTAGCGTCAAGTTGGATATTGCAAAATGTATTTCTCATCTGCACAATCTATCCTCTAATGTGTATATAATTAGTATACAAATAGTGTATATTCCGTCGTTCAATATAAGACAATAAATGAACCATGTATTTCATAAGTATATTTTAAGCTGAAATATCATGACACGAGGTAAAATCTGAATTTGGGAGGTAAATATATGTTAGAGGGAACAACGAATTGTATGCTATGTATGTTAAATATGATTCAGGGTACATTTGTAATCCTTTGGAATAAACCCCTATCGATTACATGCGCCATACTAAGACATTAGCGAGTTTTAGCTCAGCAACGGACAGACCTTCTCCGACATAGAGCACTGAGGGTTACGGCCGTCGCACACAGACCGCCCTCGTTACAATACGCGGTTTCGCTTTTCGGGGTTCGCGTACGTATAGTACGGAGATATTGCATTTGCAGTGCCAATAGGCAATTTTCGTAATGTAACCAAATTTAATGCATACTGTTGCTGAGCTAGCGCCATGAGCGTCCCTGGACGGTGTGTGCGCTCTATAAGTTTACACTATTATTATTATTATTATTATACGTCTTTGTGAAGTGCCTCGACACAAACTATTTCATTCACCTGATAAGAATAATAGTATTTCAATAGACAGATCCAAACTGCATACATTAGTTGTTGCCCGTTCGACAAACATTAGGGGTATTACGCAAGCTCATTGCGGACGGAGAATCTGCGGTTCGTGTGCAAAATCAAGAAGCTACTATAGTAACAGCGGGTCGACTGCTGAGGTACTGAAATCTAGAACGTTTTTTGGCCAAATCTACGCGCGTTCTCAATGGTTCTCAGGCTGGGATAGTGAGCATAATTATGAGTTTGTTGATAACGCCATCTTCGACGGCTTGAATCAAGCGTGATTCTGGAATAGGGTGGATCTAGCTTTGTGCTACGGGGGGAGGGGAGGGCTTTGGAGCAGTGAGCTATATTTTTTTTCCATTTAAAAAGTGCAAACCAATGTTGTTTTTTTTTTTTTTTTTTTTTTTTTTTTTTTTTTTTTTTTTGGGGGGGGGGGGGGGCAGCCCAAGGGGGATTTAAACCCCTAACCCCCACCCCCCCCTAGATCCGCCCCTGACGTGAGCGGCTCTTCGGTGAGTATTTTTTTTTTAATTTCTTCCGATTATTGTTTCTCAACTATAACAACATAAATATGGATATAACATGAATTGTTTTAAACTTGATGATAAATTGTTAAAATTTGATGAAAAGCCATTTCGTGGCTTGGTCGAGACAATACAAGCTGTGCATGTCATGTAGTCCCGTCCTTACTGTATTGCGTGGCAGGGAATAGGCCATTTTCGTAATGTAATCGAATTTAATACAGTCGTTGTGAAGTTCCTCAATACAAATTGTTTCACTCACCTGTCTAGTATTCACAAAAGTCACTAATGCAAACTGCATGTATTAAGTGTGGCAACAACTAATGTATGCAGATTTTATTATGTCTATTTAAATAATATTATTCTTATCAGGTGAATGTAATACAGTTCTGTTGTTTGTATCGAGGCACTTGATTCACTTGGGGCGTCATTGAGAACGCCCATAGATTTGGCCAAAACCCGTTCTGGATTTCAGTACCTCATCGTTCACCCCGCTGTTACTATAGTAGCTTCTCGATTATGCGCACGAATCGCAGATTCTCCGTCCGCATTGAGTTTGCGAAAACTTCCTATTGCAAATAATGGGTTCGCGCAGGGCTGAGAGATGCACAGTCTAACTAACTTTAGCACACGTTATACAGTGCCCGAAACGTGGTTACGTAGCACGCTCGTGCACATATAGAAATATCCCATGCTCCGGCGATCAAGTACCACAAAATATGTGAACCGACAACTTCCAGAGTGAGGCTTTATTTCACCTAGGCAGCAGGCTGAGGTTAAGATATAATGGCTCGAGGCACATTCTTATTTTTAAGTGATTATATGTTATAGTGAATGCATGCAGTATTTGAAATATTAAATTGAGGGTATTTGCGACCTCTTGCCTTGCTCCCTTGGAGTCTAGCCATGCGCGCTGCTCAAACAATGGAGTATAATATGCAAGGAAGAGAGGTGCGCATAATCCTCTTTTCTTTGCGTTATACCGTGTTAAAAAGGTTGTTATAATTTGCAAAGTCGTGCATATTATAACAATATATTGACCTTTATAGCCAAAAAAATACTCACTAACGAATACAACAAACAAAAGGAAGAAACATACTGCTGAGTAGCCAGAACTGTTATTTTGGAAGCAAGATAGGTATATTTAGCTGCGATGTTAAGCCTGACTTGTTATTCCTTTTATTATCGTTAGGAAAAATACATATTGTGAAAATAGATTATTTGGATGAATAGAAGGGACTTACATATGATTATGAATAATCTCTATTCTTATCTATTACATAATGAATTAAGCCAAATCTAAAGTGATGATAGTGATCGAGGAAATCGAGTAGAGTCAATATCTAAGTAGTTTGATATGACACGTCTATAACCAAAGAAGGAACGCAATATCATTGATACGATTTCATTTTGTACATTATTGTTCCCTTATTGTACAGTCCTTGCTATGCCGAACATTTTGCTCTTATTTGGTTAAGCAATTACACTCGTCAGTTTATTTACAATCTTAACAGAAATGTTTATTCGTGTATCACAAAGAGGTAAAATTACAGAAAATATATGATACTTTCATTTTGTTTAACCCAAATCCTTATTGTTTTATTCATTATTTCAACACTGATAACGTAATTATTGTCGTTTAACCTGACATTTACATGAAAGTCTGTATTACGGTCATACATTTTGTCTTGAATGATATTACACAATGGAGAAATCTAATCTACGAGTTGGTTTAGATCAGTGGTTTGAGGATAAGTTTAATCATTGGACCTGTCCATTGAATTAAAAGATGATTTAGAAAAACAGTTGCGTGTGAATGGTACTGGAATCGGGATTAATCGTCATTGAACTGAGATCGTATGGAACTAAAGAGGATTTTAATTTACTCGCTAAACTTATGACCGCCATTAATAATTAAATTTGACATCACTTTCAGTTTTCCATCGTACTGAAGCGGAAGAATCCTTTTCGACCGTGGTGATTTGTTACCACTAAAATACGGCTCTCATTCGATAATCAATTATTTCAGCACACTTGTGTACATCCTTACAAATGACGGATAAGTGCATTAGCAACAACTGAACCCCTTCTCATAAGTGTCTAATTTTATCGTTTATCTTATGTATATTTTACCCGCAGTTGTCATGTCCATATATTTATGGTAATAATCCCGTGTTATATATTTTTTTCACGGCAGCCTCTAGTCTTTTATTTAAACTCTTAGAAACTTCAGGAGTTTTTTTAGGTGCAGTTTTATTTATTTGCACACTAGATAGTGTTTTCCCATCGTTTTCGCTCGGGTCTGTGTCGGAGTTGTCCTCTCACGGGAGAAGATATCCATCCATGTCCACATCTTTCCCCGCTGAGGGCGTTTGGTAGACAGTTTTCATGTCGATGTACTCATGATTATTCGATTTATCGTCACGAAAATGATCAGCCGTCGCTGTCACTACATCATCCGATAATACGTCCCCGGTCGGAAGGATATATCCATCGAGATCAAAGTGTTTTTCATTGTCAGGTGTTTCATAAACGGTATTCATGTCCATGTATTTATGTGGTTCTCCTTTTGTGATGTATTGCGAGAGATTCAGATCATCTTTTCCGTCACCATCAGTTGCTATATTTGATTCATAATCATGATGAAGCATACCGGATTTTCGTCTATCCGGTAACCGAGGTGGGGCGTTCAGGTCTTGATAAACGGAGTTTATTGAAATAGCTTGCATCGTGCCAATATTCGTTACATCCATATAAATATCGGCGTTTACATTTTTCGCAGCCCTTCTTTTTCTTATTCTATGAAGACAGTACCAGCAGGACAATATCAGAATGATGGTAAACAATAAAACGCAAAGCCCAAGTAGAAATATCTTTGGAAGATCTGACAACAGACTAGGTCTTGTATTCAAGTTCAGATCTTCAATATTAGTCGGGATTTCCTGATTGCGGGAAATGTTCTGCGTACTTGACGATAATACTGTAATGTCGTCAGCAGCTGTCATCGGATCGTCAGTTGTAGGTGTCGTAACATCAGGCGCGAATAAATGGGAATAGGTAGTCATATCTATGACAAAAGTGGAACATGAGATAAATATCATTAATAAACAATTCACATTAAGACATTTCACATTTTCAAAATATATACGGGAAAAAAGATAAAAACATGGGCTATGATAATTATTATTATAAAGGTATGAAAACGAAGGTGTGTATAAAGTTTTGAATGAAGTTAAGAGAAAGTTAGTAACTTTTTGAAGTAATTAAATCCTTTATTTCTCGACTTTGCGCTGATTCCAGCTTGAATCGTAAGTGCTTAATATAATGCACATGATCCGTTGCCATGTATACGAATAGTTATCTTTATAATGAATTTCGTAAATAATTTATTAACTTTTTCCTTGTAAGCAATTCATTCATAATTGGATGCAAAACGTGTCAAATTTAGTAAGATCACTTTGAAAGGTTAAATGAAAAATGATGACTGGATGCAATGTGCGTAAAATTAAAATATTGTACCTCCTATGAGACACGTGACCCCAGCGTCTTCGTTATGTTGGCAGTTGTGCACTCCGAACCCTAGATGTGCGCAGTCCGCAAGGTTGTCTTCCATTCCATCGCACCCGACATGAGACAGAAAAATGTCTTCGTTCCCCTCGCCAAACTGGGATGAACCTGGTGCAGTTGAGGCGTTGCCGAATCCTAGCATTCTGCATACGACCTTTGCATCTTGCAAATCCCAGCCATCGTCGCAAACTGTTCCCCAGGTGCCGTTGTATCTGATCTCCACTCTGCCTTCAGAACTGTTAGAACCACCCACGAGCCGTATTCCAACAGAGTTTTGATGGGCTAAAACGAAAATGAAATTTCTTTCTTTTAGTATAGCCACAATTGTCATTCTCTATCCTTTTCTAGTTTAGTTCTTCATATAATTACTTGGGTATGCATTCAATTTAAGTCAATTTAAGTCTTATTGGGGTTGGAGAGTTTTTTAATAATCGTATCATCTACTATATATCTGTTCAGCCTCCTATCGAAGACATCTGTACTAGCCTTTGTTATACTGGGGGGATGTATCGACATTTAGTGAAAGTGTCTATCATGCAAACTAGACTGTAAAATACACATTTTAAAATAAATGACCACTACCCAAATAGTGCCCTTTTTTCTTGTGACAATTCATTCATTGCACATTCTTTACATTGTGCAAACAGCGTCTATCCGGCACGAATGTCAGTGAAACGTCTTAAAACAGCTGAACAACAATCTTTACAGGGTGGTTATGAAACCACTCTTGTGCCTGACTATATCATAAAAAGGTATGCACACAATATCATTTTACTGAAAGTGTTGAGACATACCTCCCGAGTAACAGATGGCACCAACATCCTCTTCATGTCCGCAGAAATTGACACCTAACCCAAGATGTGCACAGTCCGCAAGATTTGCCTCCGTTCCGTCACAACCAACAAGATTAAGAAGTATATCCCCAGATCCCTGACCAAACCTTGCAGATGTCGGTGCGTCCAAGGCTCCCTCAAACCCCAGCATTCTGCAGACGACCCTCGCGTCTCTCAGATCCCAGCCATTATCACAGATAGTTCCCCAGGATCCATCGTAGAAGACCTCCACTCTTCCTTCAGCTTTGCTGAATCCATCGACGAGCCTTATTCCGAAAGGATTTGGATGGGCTGAGGCAAAGGAAGTCGGTAATTGATAATGCAATTAAAAACCAATAAAATGTGAAATAGCACACAAAATGAAATAGATGGCACAAGGCAGTTATGTATATGTTATTTGTGAAGTTATTGTAGTAGAAAAGTTTGGATGGTTTCAATATGATTCTTAAGCTAAGGTATTGGTCCCTCCTTTGAATAAGCCGGAAGAAAACTAGTGGAAACTAGACTAATTATTAACATGTCTTTTCTTGAACATATCATCAGCTCAAGACCATCCACGACTGATATTAGTGGATAATAAGTAAACTCCTAATATAATGACATATCGGGACTGCTTGTGGCGGTTAAACATACCTCCATTGTAACAAATAGCGCCCGCATCTTCATCATGTCCACAGTAATGTACTCCAATCCCTCGGTGAATACATTCTGCTACGTTTTCTTCTGTTCCGTCACATCCGACGACATCTAGAATAATACGACCAGCGCCCTGACCAAACCTAGCAGATCCCGGTGCGTTCAAGGCTCCACCAAACCCCAGCATTCTACAAACCACCCTCGCGTCTCTCAGATCCCAGCTGTCATCACAGATAGTTCCCCAGGATCCACCGTGCAAAAGTTCTACTCTCCCTTCAGCATCGTTGGACCCACCGACAAGACGAACTTTAAATGGGTTCGGATGGACTACAAGAGAATAAAAACTTAATAACTGGGTTTTTGTTATAGATAATATCATCACAAATTTCAACATACGTTAGATGAAAAAGTATGAAGGCAGTTTAAATAAATCGAGACATCTTTTGGTTGCTATTGATTGCAAATAGTTATCCTATCAGTACTACCTCGTAATTAACCTCATATTAAATGCGGAGTGTAGACGAGAAGAAAATTAACACCATTGTGCCTTAATCCAATGATTTATAGCCCGTAGGGAAACATCTTATTCTTACATGACTATTATGTACGATCCTCCACAATACCTGCCTCCTTATAAATCGACCGAATGAAAACAACTTGCACAATGATAATAACTATATATTTTGTGAAAGATTCAGCCCCTTAACAAAATTAGTTAAAAATAATTCATTAAGAGGCAAATAGGGAGATTTTTAAAGTCACTTATAAAAGAATTATTCTGATGTTCGTTCTCATTGAAACTCGTTCTCGGATAGGTGTACTACTAGTTTATAATATCTAGAAATAATACCTCCTGAGTAACACATGGCACCTGCATCACTGTTCCATCACAGTTGACCCTATCTAGAAGAATATGACCAGAACCCTGACCAAACCTAGCAGATCCCGGTGCGTCCAAGGCTCCATCAAACCCCAGCATCCTGCAGACCACCCTCGCGTCTCTCAGATCCCAGCCAACACCACAAACAGTTCCCCAGGATCCGTCCCGCAAGACCTCTACCCTGCCTTTAGCACTGTCAGATCCATTGACAAGCCGAACTTGGTATGGGTTCGGATGGGCTATATAATGAAAATATATTAAAGCGAACATCAGTTCATGTTGTTGTTTACGTGATTCGACTTCATATTTTTCGTGAATTAGAAATAGCATAGACAAAAATAGAAATTAATTTGTCAATCTCAATAGGGTATTCCTACGTTGCATTTCGTGTATTCATGTATTTATTGAAGGGGAGACTTTCGGAAATATTGTAAATATTTCATGAACGTAATTAATTTTTTTTTAAAGTAATACAATTCTGCGAACATTATGCGCGTTCCAAATTTTGCAATCGTTTACTAAATAAGTATGAAGTTCATACCTCCTAAATAACATACGGCACCTGCGTCCATGTGATGTCCACACGGAAAGCTGACCCCAAAGTATGGACAGTCGGCCAGGCTGTCTTCTGTTCCCCAGCAATCGACACGAAGAACATCACCAGCACCCTGACCAAACCTTGCTGATCGTGACGCAGCCATGGCACCGTCGAACCCCAGTATTCTGCAAACCACTCTTGCATCTCTTAGATCCCACGAGGCACCACAGACAGTTCGCCAGGATTCACTATACAAGAACTCCACTCTTCCTTTAGCATGGTTGGAGCCAATACGAGACGTACTTCTGGTTGAAAAGTGTACATGGTGCTATTTCTTCTCCGCCACCCATTTTATAGCAAGAATAGTTTATCTGGTTATATAAAGCGTTAGAATATGCCTCTGGAACCACAAACAGCTCTGATTCTCCCTCTTTTAAATTGAAGAGTGGATTGATTTTTGACAAGTGATATTCTTCATCAGTCACTGCATTGGTGGTATGGTATGATAAGCCACGGTATATCCTTCAAAATGCCAATGTAGAACAATTTCCATGGGGACGGGTTCAATTTCCCCAAACCGCCGGACTGCTAGCCGAAATTTCACCAAGAATCAGAAAGGAAAGAATATGGAAAAGCAGATTTTCTTGCTATACTACAAAGGTTTTGAAAATATTGGTCGATTCTTTAAAAAAAATGTTATAAAGCTATAGCAAGGATAACCCCTTTCCGTCCAGTTAGAAAGTTGTTCACGACTTTTTCAAATTATATGGCTAAATAAACAGCAATGTTCTATGCCACTGTTTTGTCCGTTGGTGAATATTAGTGGGGAGCAGATATTTACTTAGTTTGGACAAAGGCATTGAAGAGTATATTACCACATTGTGTCGTTTATTGCGAAAAGCGACATAAAAATAACGAACGGGTCCATTCTTACACGGGGTTTATAAATGAAAGGCAGAAAAAAGACAAATGTAGATCCACAAATTCCAAAGAAAATTTGACAAATGAAAAAGGTTTAATGTTTTAAAGCTGCGGCGATCAAATACGTTTTTAGTAAGTTGACATACGTCGCGAGTAAGAAAAATATCTTTCGAAAAAAATAGTTAACCCATGGTACTCACAATGTGTCCTATATTTTGTTCACGCTTATAGGTTAAATGTGTCTAATATATTCCTATTCAACACTAAAACATAAGAAATTAATGTAACTCCGTTCATTTTAATTTTCACAAAAATGAATAGATTTTGTTAATAGATATTTTATTGTTCTTTCAATTCACAAAAAATAACAACAGAATGATAGTATGTATAACATTTAATATCTAACGAATAGCACCTTTTCATTTATACATTTCGTTTTCAAACTTTTACAAATGCATAAGAAAGCATATATACGTTCCGGTACTAATTACCACAGAATCATAACATAATCATATACTGTTGGAAGTTATTACTCATCTTTAACACTATAACATGTAATACATTGGATAGACAGTTTTTCAAAAAGAGCCTCACGCACACACACGCATGCACGCACACGCACCCTCTCGGAACGACACACACACATACAATCTTACCTATACCCTCCTTTGTTTGCAGCATTTCTTTTCACAAAAATGTAATGTATGCATTGAGAGTACATAAGGTTCATGTTATGCCACAGCCTCTCTGAGGCATTCACCCTCGCTACTCTCATTCCACCCTCCCAATTCTTGATGTTGTCTATTATATGTATCCTGCAGGACGCCAATCAACTCTGCAAGTTGCTAGTACATCACTCTTACCATGCGTCACCATTCCTTCCTCATTTCGTACCGTAAAACAAATATCAACAATTAAATTCCTTGTTTTCACCAGACTGTCTATCTGCTTCTGCTCTGCAACTGTTTCGGATAGATCCAGTCTCCAGGATAGTATTTGGAATAAGATAGCGATCAAGATCTGTGTCGATTCCTGTTGCGGACTTTTGGTGAACCGTTTTCATACCCATGTACCATCTCTTTCTGTGTCGAGTCTTGCTGTGAGGGGATTTTCCTTCCCCTCCAATACAACCGATGTCCATGTTCGATTTGTTTTATAACGTGTTATTGCACATGTTATTGTATCACCATCATTTGACGAAGGTCTTGTGATTCATATCCGCCCCCAATTACGGCCTTTGGTAAGCCGTTTCCACTTCCATAAAATCATGTTTATGTTTTCTTTTATGTCTTAAAGGGATCGTTTAACAATGTTGAATCTGAGATACACGGCCCTACTTGTTATCAGTGTCTGTGATATGGTGTAACATTGAAGCCCTAAAAAAATTGCGCTTCAAAATGATCAAGAAGTGCCTCAAAAAAGTAAAAATCTTTAAGTGACCGGTTTTACCATACTCGTTTTCCCCAATAGACTTTAGTGTTATGAAAACCGTCAGGCGAACGGTTTTCAAAATTTGTAATTTCAATCATAAATATCTTGATAATCAGACAGGCGATCGGCTTGTAAATGTCATGGGGTTCCTGACTGACCTAAAGGTTTATAATTATCTTTGCATCATGAGCTAAATCCAGAATTTTATTTAAGAATCTGAGACAAAGTTACCGGATCCCTTTAAGACAAAGAATCCGTTCATTGGAAAGCTTTTGCATGTTCATTTTGCCAAAACAGTTCCTCTTATCCGTAACCGACTTCCCATTAAGGCATTATTTGAAGAAATGTTCGTGTTTGGAATGAAATATCCATCGATGTCTAAGTCTTCTTTGTTGAGACGTTTTGTAATCCGTTTTCATGTCTTTATATTCATGGATCTCCTCCTCTCCCCATGTATTGTTGTGGTTTGTTCGAGTGTGAAAAGAACAATGTATTATATTAGCATAATAAAAAATGATTTAGCAAAATATTGAAACCTTTCGTACTCCAATAATTATAAAATCAGTCGTATTTATGAGTGTGGTATCGTGTTTTTATTAATATAGTATCAATTATTCATCGGTACCAGATCAAGATAGATAGTTACTTTATCTCGTTGTAGTTTATCAAAGTAAAATGAACTATGTTGATAATATTTTATGGAATGATTAATTCTCTGTTGCTGTGTGGCGATTTGTTGTGATGGAGTCTATTCTTGCTTTCTATGGGTACACTTTACAAGGCTGCAGTTTTGGACTAATATTGCATATAATATCATGGCAAGCAATAAAACAATTTTGTTCGAGTATCACTTTTCCAGGTGATCTCTCGAACTAAGCACTTGAATGTCTTCAGCCCTTCATACATATACGAATTGAAGCTATACAATATATTTATGATTCATTAATTTCTTACAGATGTGGTTAAGGTAGGCTTATACGAAAATCAGGCATGAATTGTTTGGTGCGCATTGATAACGGTTATATCTTTAGCTCAAGCAACAACATTATCCCAACGGGTATCCATATAATACCTTCTTGAATGATTTAACGAAGGTGAGCTTATATACGTTAACAATCAGTGCCAGGCTTGAAATCTCACACACACGTGCGCACACACACAAATGCATCCTCCAAACACAAAAAACACACACACCCGCATGCACACTCCCACACATACACATACACATACTACCCTTTTCATTTATTTGGGGATAATGGGTATACCAAATAGTTTGACCAAAAATTACACCTTCATCCGTTTGAGCACCTAGATTACATAGTGTAATATGTTTCCATGCATTGTTTATTTTGTTTATATGCCGAAATAATAAATTGATTGTAGGACAGGGATTGAAAAACATTTTTCGAAAAACGATTTATAGTTAAAATAATACATATATATTTCGTGTCGAAGTGGACCACTCCATTTCCAACCATTACCTCGCAGAGCAGCTGGTGATAATTATACATCCATATTTTCAGAATAAACCTATCCTTGTCTTTCCTCAATGAATAGTCTTCTAAAGTTCCTTAATTTCTATGTGGACCTATTAATGATCCTCGTCCATTTAAATTTCTTCTCATTTATTAACGCCTGTCCAGTATTCGGGTTTGGGAGGATTCATTTTTAAAACTTCTTAATGTTTGGTATCTAAAAGAAAGTCTAATATCAAGAAAATTTCCATCGTGTATGTGGCTTTCTTTTTAAAGGCATGTTCAGATATGACGTGACAAAATCGCGACGTTTTTTTTTTTTAATGAAGACGTAAAGTGCAATACCCTTAACATATTTGCACACAGAACTATGTGATTCTTTAAAACGTGAAAAATCTGCGGCTATTTAATTTTGCATCGGTTTACCGCGTGATATCTGACCAAGTCTTAAGCAGTTGTGATGTTGGTGTAATCAGGAATAATATCGTATTCCGTATCTGACGATGACCTTGCCACTTTGTGTTTGTCATCACCAAGTGGGATGGCAGTTACTGCCATTTTAGCATTTGTCGGAACTCTAGCTTGATGTGTTGAGATTGTTGAATCACGATTACAGTCAGGATAATCGTCTTTATCTGCAGAAGGCTCTTCATAAACAGTTGTCATGTCCATGTATTCATGTAGTTCAGGCGCTGTACTGCCTTTTGTTACGGAGGCATGTTCTACATCTTTCACATATGGACAGTTTGTCCGGGATCCTTGAGTTACAGATGGATCCCTGTCTATGCCTACATCCGTATCTGAGTTGATATCCATATACTCGTGTTTGTAATTTTCTCGAGTATGTTTCGGTTCTTTGCTGACACTTGCTTTCTTGTAATACCGTTGGAAATCAGTTAAATTCAGAGAAATTTCGTTTCCTAAACCTGTAACACCAGGTAGAAGATACCCATCGGTGTCTATGTCTGTAAATACTGGGGGCTCGTGATAAACAGACTTGATGTCCATGTATTCATGAACCCCATCTTGTCTGCTGAATTGTAGAGTTCCTTTCAAACTTCCTTTATTGTCAATATTGGGTAAACCAGTTGACATTGCTCTCAAATTCGGGGTAACTTCGTTTTTGGAGGGTGTAACGCTTGGGAGAAGATAGCCATCAGCATCTTTGTCGGCGTCTACTGATGTCACACCAGGAAGAAGATAACCGTCAACATCAAAGTCCAAACCGGATGAAGGCTTTTGATAAACAACGTTCATGTCCATGTACTTATGATCTATATCTTGTATATTTGTGTGTGTTGCTCTCGTCATTTTGACGTCAGTCTCTGTTACATTG